ATCACAAACATGAAAGCAAATGCATCTCATGATTATTTTATCCTACGACGCCACATTTTCCAAATCAAACCTCCCTCCTTCACTTATTTCATTAGTTTTTTTTTTTTTTTTTTTGGTGTTCCGTTTCACACTCCCGAGTAATTAAACCAAACTAAAAGATTGATTCCCTAAATAGTCAGTTGCATGTGGTGCTGCTCTATGTTCAGCCCACTCATCTTGACGAAAATGCAATAAAAAAATTGGGGGCATTTCTGATCCCAACTGAGTTATGACATGTGATCATTTCGAACTTATTTAAGCTATATAATACGAGAACAACATAATTCATATTTATTCCAAGTATGCTAATATTATTTGTATGTTATATTGCACAAGATATTTTTTTATTTTGTAATTACATCTCATCTTATGTCCGGATTACGCATAAACATAACAGATACAAAATTGATGTGACTTCCTCATTCGACATAAATTACGATAGCTCTCAATCAATAATCTTATTAGTTTGTGTTTTGTTAACCCCGCCTTAGCTTTATACGATGCAAACTATATATAGCCTAACTCGAATACTTTATACTCGTACAAATGAGAAATTAACGGAACATCCTCAAATATACATATTGACATCAACAAGTAACATCATATCATTTAAAATAAGGAAACTTTATATATATATATATATATATATATATGCATGATTGTGATCAGTCAAAAGGAGGCGGCGGCAGCATGTGGGCTAGCAACATAATTGATGTATAATTGGTCAACGAGTTCCAGCTCCATATATTGTTAGGCTACAGCCACATGTAGATTATATAATGTATTAAACACTATATATGAAGATACATATAAACAAATGAGGAAAGGAGGCGAGTGGTATAAATAAATGATGCGCCGAGCTAGCTAGGCCAGATCTCTATCCCATCATCAGTCATCACTTGCTAGCTAGAATCAATCGAGATTGCAAGTAGCCAAGTAACTATAATGGAAGATCATAAACTACTAGAAGTTGGGTGGTGGTGGTTGCAATTCGTTCCCAAGTATTGGTCCTTGGCCACCCCAACAACACTAGTGCTAGTAGTGATCATATTCACCACCTTCCTCCTCAAAAGTTCACTCAAAAAGAAGACCAAGTCTTCGCCGTCCGCACGGCCGCCCCCAGGCCCATGGAAGCTGCCGGTGATCGGAAACCTACACCAGATGGCGGTTGGGTCGCCGCTCACGCATCACCGCCTCCGGGACCTGGCCAAGCAGTATGGTCCTCTCATGCAGCTCAAGCTGGGCGAACTCTCCGCCGTCGTCATCTCCTCCCCGGAATGGGCCAAGCAGTTCATGCAGACCCACGACCTCAACTTCGCCACCAGGCCCTTCCTCCTCGCCGCCAGCATCATATTTTACGACGGCCGGGACATCGCCTTCGCCCCTCACGGCGACTACTGGAGGAAGATGAGGAAGGTTGTTTCCATGGAGTTGCTGGGTGCCAGGTACGTTATTGGATTTGGTTTGTTGTTGTTAAAAGATAGATCATATAATATATGATAGACCGTTTGTTGGTATGACTTGAATCAGACTATCTGATTACCATTGAAAGTACTATAAATATTTATGATATTTCTCTGTAATCCGTATCTTCTTAAAATATAGTGAAACTGTCTCTCTCCTGTCCGTATCTAAATCTGCGTGTCTTGTTCGTTTAATGCTTTCATTTTCTTACTATGCCGATCCTATGATTTCTAGATCCGTAGAAACAGTCGTGACATCAACTAACTTAATTGTTCCCATGCATGCACAAACTCTACGTACACCCAGGCGCGTGAAGCTGTTTCGGCCTATCATGGAGCGAGAAGTGAAGAAGCTAGTCGAATCAATCTCAGCAGGCGGCACGGCGGCGCCGGTGAACATGAGTCGGATGTTCGTCTCGCTGGGGACAACGGTCACATCTTGCGTGGCCTTCGGGAAGGCGCGGAAAGACGACCACCAAGTGGAGCTGCTGTTGCCCTTGATAGACCAAATTATGGAGACGCTGGGAGGCTTCAGCCTGGTGGACCTCTTCCCTTCCAGTAAGCTCGTGGGCCTGCTCACGGGGGCCCATTCCAGCCTCAGGAAGGTCCACGCAGCCGTCGACGTCATCCTCGAAGCCATAATCAGCGACCACGTGGCACGAAGGTCCACATCATCATCAGCTACGAATTCCAAGAAAGACGGCGACGGTGAGGATGTTGTGGACGTTCTCCTGAGTATCAAAGAGAACAACGACCTCGGAATCCCTTTCACCAACGAGGAGATCAAAGCTCTCATCCTCGTAAGTCCGATATACTGCACGTGCACTTTTGTCACATACAATTCATTTTGAGAACCATTTACAAACAGTAACGCTTATGAGATTCATTACCTTATGCAGCAAATATTCCTCGGTGGGACTGACACGTGGACCGTGGCAGTGGAATGGGCAATGTCGGAGCTAATGAAGAACCCATGGGTTATGAAGAAAGCACAAGAAGAGGTGCGGCAAGTGTTTAATGCTAAAGAAAAATTAGGAGCTGCAAATGATCAAGCGTGGATGGATCAACTGCCTTATCTACAGCTAGTTGTGAAAGAAACTTTCAGGCTGCATCCTCCCGGTCCTCTACTAGTTCCAAGGGAGAGTCGAGAAACGGTCGTGATCGATGGGTATCAGATACCGGCTACCACCAAGGTCATCATCAACGCATGGGCCATCGGTCGAGATCCCCAACACTGGACCGAGCCCGAAACTTTCCGCCCAGAAAGGTTCCTCGATAGCTCCGTGGACTTCAAGGGGATGGATTTCCAGCTCATCCCGTTTGGAGCTGGCCGAAGAGCGTGTCCGGGAATACACTATGGGATCTCCATCATCAATATCGTCCTCGCGAATTTGCTTTATCACTTCGACTGGGAGCTTCCTGACGGGATTACCCACCAGGACTTCGACATGTCCGAGAAATTTGGCGTGGAGGTGACCAGGAAAAACGACCTGCTCCTCATTCCCGTTCCATACCACACCACCCAGAATAATTAGTAGCTATCACGAATTAGCCTACCGATTATGATATTCCGCCTTGATTAACTTACCTTTGCCTTCTCCATGCGTCTACTTAATTTTCTGTCTTGTCTTTTGTTTTTCTTTTCCCCATATGAATAAGTGAAGATCTATATGAATTGATTTCTTAATTGAATGGAATCTGCTCCTCTCTTGAACTATTAATATAGCTGGAGGATGGAATAGTAAGGGAGAGGAAGTAATGGGTTATCTAATATAATATACTTAATCTATATGCTACAGTGGTTTATAAGCGTGCTTTTGTATTCGGCATCTTTAATCTAACTAGTTCATGACAAAGTAATTTTAGATGGAATTAGTAACCACTAAAATAAACAATTTATATATAGATGAGCTTTTTTATTCGGCATATTTCGGTACCCGATCTGATAATACTGACAATCGTCTTGACAATTCCAAAGCTAGGGATTATTACCCATATCTATAATAATAGCTAGTGGGGAGACAGATGGGTTGTTGGGCAGCTCTTAATTACTAATTAAATAGCAAAGTGCTATTTATATAAATGTATAGAAGTATGGTTGATGATCATGTGCATATATATTATTTGTTTCTAAAAAACAGCACATTATTTTGACAATCTAATTCGTTTTAAAATGATTATAAGCAGTGTGATTCTAAAAAAAATTATTATAATTTATAACATTTCATTCTAATTATGAACAAGAAGATAGAAATATGAACCTGTACATGAATTATGTAAAACTTACATGTATTGTTACCATTTATGAAGTTGGCTAGATATACCATTATTCTGACAAATTTATTTTGAAATATGTTACTATTGACTAATTGAATAGTGCATAAATATTTATATATGAATTTTACAATACTTTGTATTAATATTTTCACAAACAAGGATATGGTCTAATGGTAATACCATATGCCCTTAATCATTTAAGTAGTGCATTAAATCACAGAAATGTTAAAACCTATATCACCCTTACTCAAAAAATTAATATTTTCTTTTTATTTTCTTTTTGCAAACTTAACTTATACTTTATTATAAAATCGCCTGACCATAATATGATAATAATAAAATCAAGTTCTGGGCTATATATAGGTGCGAAATAATCCACCGACAAGTAGCCACAAATCTAAACTTCAGAACCTTACCGCTTATCTCTCACCCAACCAAGATGGATAGAGAAGCAATGGGAGAGGAAGTAGAAGTTACATCCATCAGTAATGGTCAATCATTTCATCATCTCAATTAGTATTAATTACTACGCTACCATCTTCATCAGATCGATGCATGTTGTGATCTGTGTATGAATACTAATTGGGATGATGAAAGAATAGACCATGCTCTGGTTCATCAGCGGCAATACTATACTGGCTAGCTAGGGAATCTTTATCTGGTAGCATGTTCTTCATTTCTTGTTTGCAGTTTTACTTCTTCTCAACATGATTTGCTTAGCTTGTTTCCTATAGATTAATGCAGGCATCTTCAAACTATAGGAGCTAACCGTTTATATATTTCCTGTACGTGGTAATGTTGATTTGAGACAAGTTTCTAAATTCAAGGATGCAGTTCTCTTTTGCATTCGGTTGACCGATTTGCGGTTTCGAGTTCGATCAAGTGATAAGGGATGAGGTTTGGTCAAAACTAGCTCTTTTGTGACCTTCTGGCTTTGATGAGTTTTTGTAGTGGAATTAGAAATGCACATCCCATTTCATCCTAAAAATCACTGTATTTTACTGTGCACAAAATCCATTTATATATATACCACAATTAATGCATCTATTTAATCCTTGCAACTTTCATAACTCATAAGCCACTGGGAATTTTTTTATCGATAATAGTGACGATATTTATTAATGGTACACTGGTGCTACAAATTTGATTTCATAGGATAAAAAGAAAGTGATGCAGAATTAATTGGGAGCAAGTTCCAGGCAGCTGCTAATTAATTACTAGCTAGGCGCTCCTCAAATTGTAGCCACCGTCGACGACGAGGTTCAACCCACTCACAAACTGCGACTCATCGCTGGCGAGGTAGAGAGCCGCCTCGGCGATGTCATCCTCGTCCAGCAGCGGTCCTTTCAACGCCGACTTCTGAGCATAGAACTCCTGAACCCCCTTCCGGTCCAACCCGAGCGCCTTCATTGCCATCGGAGTCGGGACGGCGGCGGGGGAAACCGCGTTGACCCGAATCCCGTACTGCCCCAGCTCCACGCACAGGTTCTTCACCAGCCCCACCTGCGCGTGCTTCGAGGCCGTGTACGTGTGAGCGAACAGCCCAAACGTGTCCGTCACCACGCTCGCCGTGAACAGGATGGTCCCTGTTTGTCGAAATAATCAGTTAATCTCAATAACTCGATCGCGAATTGTTAAAAAAAAAAAACAGATTCGATAATAATAGACCTTATACCTTTCTTTTTCGGGATCATCACCCTGGCCGCGTGCTTGGCACACAAAAACCCGCCCACCACGTTGATCTCCAGCACTCTCCTCAGCTCCTCCGCGTCCACCGTCAGGATCCGGTGCCCGGAGCTGTCCCCCGTGACGCCGGCGTTGCTGTACATGATGTCCAGCTTCCCGTGGGCCGAAACGACGGCGTCCACGGCGCTCTCCACGTCGCTCTCCTTGGTGACGTCACAGCGGACGAAGGAAACGGGGTGTTGGGAGTTGGAGCTCGCTTCTTTAGCGACGGAATCTCCCAGCGAGGATTGGACGTCGGCTATCACGACTTTGGCGCCGTTCTGGGCGAACAGCCTGACCGTGGCGGCGCCGATCCCGCTTGCTCCGCCTGTGATCAGTGCCACCTTCCCTGCTAACCTGCACACAATGTTAATTAATTAAGCGGATTGATCATTGACACTAATTACGATCAATGAATCGCTCTTTCACTAATTATATATGAGGACTGACTATATTTTTACCTCCTGGAAACGGATTGTAGCACGGAAGACATTATTGATTTATCAGATGTGACAAGTGTAGAACTGTGGAAGCCTTGGAATGGATTGATTGCTATTTGCTAGTTACTACTTAACGATTTGTCTCAGTGAAACGGAATTATATATCAATCCTTATAGCTCTCCACCTGCCGGATGTATATGCTTATAATATATGATCAATTTTTTCTCGCATCGCGCCAACTTGTTGACTAGGTACAAAATAAATTCAAATCTTGGGAACAGACAAAAGACCAGATTTCTCAGGAAGGATCATCACCGTGTGGGGTGTTCTATATATTTAAACTAACTAATTAATCAATTGGTTATAAACAATGTGTTTCATGCAATGCACTGTTTTAGAAACTCTTTAACTTACCATCCGGTTGGACCTGAAGTATCAGGTAGTGGATATTAAACCGGTAGGCAGTCTTAGCGATATAACAGTATTGAACTACGGTTATACCATGATTTTAGTATAAAATACTCTATCACTGACTTTTTCTGTATAACGTCCAATATTATTTCACAATCATTGGTTTCGTGTGGAGAAGTATTATAGCGCCATTATTAATTTTTCACCATTTGGGATTATATAAGGCTCATCCCTTCCTGAATAATATACTTCGCCATTATTAATTTTACTGAAATTTTTAGATTTAACTCGTTATTATTTAGTAGAAGGAAAGTGATAACTTTGGGGTAGTAGATGTCCGGTTACCGGTAGCCAAATTTAGCTAATGTTAACCGAAGATTGAACAATTAGTAACCAATGGTTAAACAGTAACAAAGTAACCGATTAAAGTCATCCTCATAGTTAGGACTGAAAATTATGTGTCTCGATGAGCCGCAGGTATATGCCAAAAATAATTGGAAGTTTGAAGGCATCGGTCATCCATCTGATTAAGACTCTCTTATTCAAATCTAATCTGGTTGTCTGTGAGGATAGTAGTTTTTCATTAATTAGCAACAAGTCAACAACCCATCGTTTGTCTCATCGATCACTACACTAGCTATGACATATATATTTATAAAATCCCAACCCAATATTTTCCTACAACGACTGCTGCACGCGTGAGCTTCTTATAAGTGTGAAGGAAAACGTGATGAATTTAAATGAGTATTTGACTTTTTCAGGGGTGAACGAAATCCGTTTAAAAGTTAGAGCTCCGATTTTTGCGGGAGGAATACCGAGGAAACCCTAGGTCGACCTTCGCTGTTTGTATTGATGGCGGCGTCAACGCCGTCCGGCCAGCCGTCGCCCACGGGAAAACCACCGGATGGAACGAGTGGAGCGAGGCGAACGGCTCTGGGGTCTTCTTCTCCGGACGGCAAAAGTGCTCGTGAGACTTTTCAACCAAAGAAAAAAGTAAGGGCTATGGACGTAGAAACAGAGATGACTGATGTGAGTCCTGACGCCGGCGGTGAAGAGGTACCGGACTCGCAACGGAAGGTGCAGCAGGGGGAACCAGGACAGAAGGCACCTCGATCAGCCTGGCGGGGAGGGGAAGCACGACTCTTCAGTGATGTCCTGAAAGATGGGGGCTGGTACGTGGCTGAGTCGGATACTGAAGATATACTACAACAAGAACGAGAAGAGGATGATGTCGTTGATGAGGAAACTTACGACCCACGCTGTCCACCGGCTTTATTCACGGCTGCCCAGAAGAACAAGTGGAGACGGGAATGGAGGTCAGCTTTGGTGGTCAAAGGTCTGGGGAAAAAGGTGGCGTATCTGCCGCTTGCAAAACGTCTGAATTTTTTGTGGGCAAGGAATGGCGAGCTTCAGATCTCTGACATGAAGAATGGATGCTTCCTGGTACGATTCAGAAGCCATAAGGATTATGAACTTGCCTGTTCGGAAGGGCCGTGGTTGCTAGGAGACACATACCTGACTGTGTTTCGTTGGTATAAGGGTTTCAACCCGTGGAAAGTAGAGGTGAAGTCCACGCCTGTGTGGGTCCAGCTGCCGGACCTACCTATCGAATTTTTTAACGCAGAGGCTGTTACAATTATTGCTCAGTTGATTGGGCGGCCAGTTCGTGTGGATCGTGCAACTGAGATGGGTGCAAGAGGAAACTATGCTAGAGTTTGTGTCGAAGTGGACCTCTCTCGCCCATTACTTTCACAATACAAAGTTGAGGGAACTACCTATCTAATTCAGTATGAAGGCTTGGAAGACATATGTGGGGAATGTGGAATGTATGGGAATAAAACAACCTCATGCAAATGCCATGCAATGGGTGAAGAGGACAAAGAAATGGAGGAAACTGTAGTACCGGAAACCCAAGATGCGAACCCAACTGAAGGCCGGGTGTACGGTGAGTGGATGACGGTAAAGAAGAAGGTGTGGCAGCCAATGAAGCGGGTGAGTAACTCTGATGGCAGGAGGGAAGAGGTGGTAAGAAGAAATAGATTTCATGTCCTAAACGAACAAGAGGGTTGTGAGAATGATGGTCGGACTGAATTAATGGCAGAAAGGGAAAGGTCGGGTGGGGAGGAAGTGAATCCTGGTGTACAGACCAGCGGTTATAATGAACAAGAGAGGGTAATGGAGGGGAAGGGAACAGAGAGGGGACTTACAAAAAATGATGGGAAACAGAAGATGAGTAGTGATACGGCGAAAGGTGGGAAGGAAAAGGCTGGGAAACAGGTCAATGTGGAAGGTGCTCAGAAGGCGAAAGTGAATAAGGGTGGTAAAACCCAAGTGACTCATGGCAATGGAAATAGCTCAAAAAGAGGTAACCAAACAGCTGATGGTGCGGGGAACCTATCCCCTTCTGGGAATAGATGAGACTGTTGTGTTACAACTGTCGCGGGCTGGGGAGCAAGCGAGCAGTTCGTGCTTTACGGTCGCTTTTGCGACGTTACTCCCCAAATGTTGTTTTCTTGTCGGAAACAAAACAAACAAAAGAGGAAAATCGTGTAACTCAGGTGGAAATGGGATTCGAGGAAGGGGAAGCAAGTTCGGTGGACATGTCGGGGGGCGGTCGTGCGGGAGGTCTGGGAGTTTGGTGGCGAGAAGGCATCAATATCGACCTGATGTCTTTGGACCGTAACCACGCTGATGTTAGGATCACGGAGGACGAAGGGGGTGTGTGGAGATTCACAGGAATCTATGGGTGGTCGGAAGACTCGGAGAAGTGGAGGACTTGGGACCTGTTACGAAGGTTGGGGGGGCAGTGGGATGGTCCGTGGCTGTGCGGCGGAGATTTTAATCAAGTTCTACGCAGTCAGGAAAAAAACGGTGGTCGAGGGGCCCCTGATGCAGGGATGATGGCTTTTGAGGATTGTCTTGATGAGGTTGGGTTAGGAGACCTGGGGTACAGTGGCTATCCATTTACGTGGGAGAACAGGCGAGTAGGTGCAGCTCATATTGAGGAACGTTTGGACCGATTCGTGGCAACAGAAAATTGGTCGGGGCTTTTCCCAGGAGCACGAGTTCTGAATCTCGAGAAAGAACGGTCTGACCACCGCCCGATCATTTGTGATACTTGTGGCGAAGCTGACGAGGAGCCCAAGTGGGGGTGGTCTTTCAAATTCGAGCCCTACTGGGCAAAGCATGAAGACTGTCACCGTGTGATTGAGAAGGCATGGTCAGATTGTGGGGGAGCGGATTTACTTACAAAGTTTCTTTCTTGCAGGGAAAGTCTAAGCTCGTGGAGTAAGGAAGTTTTCCCAAACTTTGGGCGACAGCGCCGGAAAATTAAGAGAGCTCTGGCTGCGCTGGATTGGAGACCTCGCTCGGAGCTGGTAGTCCAACAGCGAAAACAACTGGAGTTGGAGCTTGAGGAACTGGAGGCAAATGAAGAGCTGTATTGGAGCCAAAGGTCTAGAGCGGATTGGTTGAAGGGTGGTGACAAGAATACAGCTTTTTTCCATAAGAAAGCTTCGGCGAGAAGGAGGCGCAATACAATTCGCAAGATTAAGGATGAAGGAGGGCAATGGCATACAACCCTTGAGCAGATTTTCTTTTGTTTCACTAATTACTTCTCTAATCTGTTTACTGCTAGTGATGCTCCGCAGGCTACCCCGGTCCTGGATTCCATTAGGGCTTCGGTAACTACGGAGCAAAACGAGATGCTGCTGCGTCCGTTTGGGAGAGAAGAAGTGGTCACAGCACTGAAACAAATGGGAGCCAGGAAAGCACCGGGAGCAGATGGATTATCCGTCCTCTTTTACAGAAAATATTGGGATATTGTTGGAGATGATGTTGTGAAGGTGGTGTTGGAAATTTTGGAAAGTAGGGTGATGCCGCAGGAGTTGAATCACACTCTTATTGCCCTTATTCCGAAAGTGAAGTCGCCTACTAGTCCTCAGGAGTTTCGACCTATAAGCCTGTGTAATGTTCTTTATAAGCTGGTCTCAAAAGTGTTGGCAAACAGGCTTAAGATGGTACTGGACGATGTTATCTCGCCGGAACAGAGTGCCTTTGTCCCGGGTAGAGTTATCACGGATAATATCATGGCAGCTTTTGAGTGCTTTCATACGATGAAGAAGAAGAAACAGACTGGACCAGGAATATTTGCCGCCAAGATTGATATGGCGAAAGCGTATGATCGAGTGGAGTGGCGCTTTCTGGAGGGGGTGATGAATCGAATGGGCTTTGACTCGCGGTGGATTGAGCTCATCATGATGTGTGTGCGTACCGTCTCCTACTCGGTTCTTGTTAATGGGCACCAGTCCGAACGGTTCTCCCCAGCGAGAGGACTAAGGCAAGGAGATCCTCTGTCTCCCTACCTCTTCCTCTTTTGTGCGGAAGGGCTCTCGGCCATTACCAGACAGGCAGTAAGTGACCGCAGGTTGCATGGTATACAGGTGGCCAGAGGTGCCCCAACGATTAGCCATCTTTTCTTTGCTGATGATTGTGTTTTCTTTGGGAGAGCAACAACACAGGAAGCAGATACTCTGAAGAGCCTCCTCCAAGGGTATGCAGCAGAATCAGGCCAGGTCGTAAGTTATCCAAAATCAGCGGTGTCTTTCAGTGGTAATGTAAAGATGCATATGAGATTGATGGTAAGCGGGACTTTGGCGATGACTATGGTGGAGAAGCATGAGAAGTACCTTGGCTTGCCAACTGTGGTCGGGCGTTCAAAGAAGGAAATCTTTGATGGATTAAAGGAACGGGTGCGCAAAAAGTTAAAAGGGTGGAAAGAGAAGACTCTCTCAGTCGCAGGAAGAGAAACACTAATAAGGGCGGTGGCTGAAGCGCAATTCACCTATGCTATGTCGGTTTTCAGAATACCGGTTGCCATTGTGAACGAAGTTCATAGTTTAATTATGAACTTTTACTGGGGGCAAAAGGGAGCTGAGCGACGTGTGCACTGGGTTAGTCGCGAAGGTATGGCGTGCCCGAAAGAGGAGGGAGGTATGGGTTTTCGAGATTTAGAAGGTTTTAATACGGCCATGCTGGCAAAGCAGGTGTGGAGGCTATTTCAAAGGCCCTCGTCGCTGATTGCTCGACTGATGAAAGCCAAATACTACAAAAATACCACAGTTTTAGATGCCTCCTTGGGGTATAGACCCAGTTTCATATGGCGGAGCTTGTTAAGTGCACGGGAGTTCCTTTGCAAAAGGATTCGGTGGAAAGTGGGAAATGGAACGGAAGTTCGGATATGGGGCGATAACTGGCTGCCAACCGGGGAGCCGTGGTACGTGGAATCGGCGCCGAAGGGATTGCCTGCAGACTCGGTGGTACGAGAGCTTATTCAGCCAGATACTGAGGAGTGGGATTTAGAGATTCTAGAGAGATGCTTCCCCAATGATATAGTCAACAAGATCAGACAGATCCCACTCCGGGGAAATGGAGAAACGGATCGGATAATATGGGCAACAAATGACTCGGGTGAATACACAGTCAGGGACGGCTATAAATCATGGTTACAGGACTTCCTCAAAGACCAGCCACAGATAGTTCCTATTGGAGAAGCTAGTATATGGAAGAGGCTATGGGCTCTGGATATGCCTCCTAAAGTGAAGCACTTCATGTGGCGGTTTATGAGGGGTGTGCTCCCCACCGGCGATCATATAAGTGTGAAAAGCGAGAGGAGGACGGATAAGTGCCCTTACTGCGATCTACGGGAAACGCAGGTTCACGCCTTTGGCCAATGTGCATGGGTGTCAAGACTATGGAGGCAATCTGAGTTTGCAACCTGTTTCACCAACCGGCCTAGTGACGACTGCTACCAGTGGGTGGAGGCTGTGATGGGGGCTGAGTCGGATGAGATGGTTGAGGCATGGTGCATCGTGCTCTGGTTCTTTTGGAGGGAGCAAAATGCCCACATGTTTAATGGGCATCGGCTTGAGGAGAACGAGATTATCCCCCGGGCAAAAGCTTTCAGGGAAGACTACCGGAGTCAAGAAAGAAGAAGCAGCATACCAACACATGACAGTGATAGTAGTCACTGGAGATTACCGGAGCAGGGACGAGTCAAGATCAATACGGATGCCAGTGTGCTGACGAGTGGGGGCATTGGCCTGGGGATGGTGGCACGAGATTGGATGGGCCGTTTCCTGTGTGCAGCAGCAAAGAAAATGGAGGGGAGCTGGTCGATCGAAGAGGCGGAAGCATTAGCCGCGGAATTTGGGGTTCAGGTTGCTCTCCAAAACCATATTATGAATCCTATCCTGGAAGTGGATTGCCTGGCTCTAGTGAAGAAGATTCATGAAGCAGACTCTATTCAGTCGGAAATAGGTACGATCTGCAGGAGCATTAGACGTTACCTGAGGGCGATGGGAGAATGTTCATGGCAACATGTGAAACGCGCGGGAAATGAAGCTGCTCATTTGATGGCACAGGTGGAAACTCGATGGAATGAACGTATCGTTTGGGTAGATATACCCCCGATGATCTTGCTTGACCAGCTACAGCTGGATAATGTAACAGCCTCCACTGGTTAAATAAAAGATTTACAGGTTCCTATCAAAAAAAAAAAAGTATTTGACTTTTTCATTCAAATTAACCTATTGAAGCATATCTAGATATTTGGCGACCAATTCTGCTACCAAAATATTTTGGTCGCAAAAATGTATTAATAACCAAATTTTGACATTTGGTGACCAATTCTATTGGTTGCAAAATCACTTTTTTCTTGTAGTGTCTGCTACTGCTAGCTGGTGGCTTTCCGTTGGGCAGATGTCACTAATTGTTGCCTGCTGGTGGTAACTAATATTTTGTCACATCTGGAAGTGGTCACCAGTAACTGAGCCACATCACCTTTGGGTGGAACGGCCTAATGAAGGACATATTATTGTGATCTCTTCTGTTTTTTATTTTATTTTGAAAGTAATCTGTTTATGGGATAGATGAAACAAATTAGTCTTGGAAGGCATTGACGCTCCTTTAGCACTGCATGTGGAGTGGTCCAGTTTGGTCCAATAAAGTCAAACATCTTAGCATCAAGTATTGAACCAACAATGCATTCAGTTCAATTTAGTCCATTTATTATTCGTATTTATAAAATTTGTGAACAAAAGATCAAACTGTATCTTATTCAATTGACTATAAACCAGTACAAGTGTCGGTTTGATCCGATACGATATAATACAAACCAAACTGTTGTACACCCCCAATCCTCCACGGTTCGCTTTGCCCAACTCAAATACCTGGCTCCACTCAATTACATATTTTTATAATGTATACGTCAAGACAATCCAGCTCAAATTATATGTGGCTCCACTCAATCACATTATTTTATATAATATATAGATCAAGACAATCAAGGTAGAGGGTGAACGACGACTTTCCCAGTAGCTCTCCCAGTCATGAGATGGGAAAATGCCTCCACAGTCCGAGAAAATGGGAAAGGACCCTTTGGATCAATCAATGGCTTCACTTCCCCACTCTCCAAATAAGGCTTCACCTTCTCCAACGCACTCCCTTTCGACGTCACCACAAACCAACTCGCCGGCGGTGGCACCGGCAGTATCGCCACCACCACCACTCTGCCGCCGCTGCCTTCACCGCAGCTGTCCCGTTTTGCACTGCAGTAGTAGTTGTTCATCGAACTTTCAGAAACCATGCACAACTTCTCCCGCACAGAACGAGCTTTTTGCAACCAACAAATGGTCGCCAAAAGGCAAAGTTCCAAATACTTTTGGCGACTATTTCTTGTTTGCTTTTTGGCGACTCTGAATTGGTCGTCATTAAAAGTAAAGATAAATCGGCTACGAATATGTGAAAACAGGCTAGGGATTCTGGTTTTTGATTTGGGGATTTTTTTGTGTTTTAGAGAAACCATGAGAAAAGACACGCAAAGAAGAAAGAGTGAAAAGCAAAATGAAATTGGACGATTTTCTTCTGACCAGCAAATGGGCTTTACTTGGTCTTTGGCCCAATGATAATAAAATGACAAAAATTAACGTAAAATAAACGGATTGGGTTCAAGAGATCAAAAGACCCAGTTAAAGCTTCTGTTTAGAAGAGACGATTTTGATTTCTTCCTTCAGAACACAATTTCTGGACTTTTGACCTGTGTACGCAGCAAACTGGAAAACAGATCAAAACAGAGCAGCAAACAAAGAACGGAGAGAACACCACGATTTAACGAGGTTCCCAAACTATTGGTCACTCCTCGGCCTAGAATCAGTACCACTGATTTCTAGGAGACTCTTTTTATTGGTTTTACCTATCAAATTGAATTCAAAAGAAGAACGTAAATAACAAGAACGATAGAAAAAAAACTCGGATCCCAATCCAGACCCGCCACAACCTTGACGATATAGAACCTATGCCTCTATACTCGTCAAACCCTTTGTAATCCAAAAGCCTAGCCCTCTACCGCTATCTTTTCATTACCAAGTACCCATCTGAGAAGAACCAAGCAGCACTATATATATAGGAGGATTTGTAGCTAGCCGTTGCTGATATTCTTCACGCCTTCCTTCCTGACTTTCCTTCTCTGAAAACTTTCCCATATTGTGACCTTTGATTAAGGTTGGTGATCTTATGATCTTTATCAAATATTTGCAACTCTGATTTCACCTTTTCCATATTCGTCCAACAATATGTTTATATATACTTTGTTTTATGGGTTAATATTTTCGTATGGCCTGAACTTGGACCAAAGTAAACATCCTAGCCAATTTTTTCGATCTATAACATTCTGGCCCGAACTGCGAACTATACACCAAAATAAATAATTTGACCAGATCAGACTTTTGACCGTTAACTTGGACGGTCAAACGCGTTGACCGTTAGTCAACGCACCATGTCACCTCCAACTCCACAATTTTAAATAAAAAAAATTAATTAATTTCCACCTATTCCATTTTATTTCCTTTCTCAATTTGATGTTTTTTTTTTTTTTTTGGAAATTTTTTTGGAAAGAGACGGTTTCTGTCTTGGTTGGACTACCGCCATTTCTGTACTCGTCGAGCTCTTCCACGTTCTGCTTAGTGTAATCGATGGCCAGATCAGCTCCCAAGCTCTTCAGCAGCTCCAGCTTTGAAGTGCTTGACGTGGCTGCCACTTTGTATGATCCGAAAACATGCTTCGCCAGCTTTGCATGCGGGCTAGGATCAGGTGACTAAAAGGGGGGGCCTTAGTCACATGACTAAGTCAATCTCAGCCCTTCCACCTCATTAAAATCTAATGGCTCTAATCAATCCAAATTAATGAAGGGCAATGTAGTAATTGTATAATTATTTTTATTTTTATTTTTAATTTTTAATTTTCCACTGTCCCCTCCCGTCCCTACCGCCGACTGCTTTTCCGTCTGGAGCCTCCCGTCTCCGTCGTTATTGCCGGCGGTCGTCCAGGGGAGCCTCCGCGCCCGCGCAATTATTTTAATTGCCGCCCAGGGGAATTGTCCCCCTCATGGCCCATGCGCCATTATTTCGTCCCGGGGAATTTAGATAGAGAGAGAGAGAGGGAGGGAGGGAGGGAGAGAGAGAGTGTCCCCCTCATGGCCCATGCGCCATTATTTCGTCCCGGGGAATTTAGAGAGAGAGAGAGGGAAGGAGGGAGGGAGAGAGAGATAGGCGAACATCGTCGCCGGAGAAGAATTTTCCGGCAACAGTGCTGATTTTGTGATGTTTGTTGACATATTTTGTAATGTTTGTATGCTTTGTTATTTTGTAATGTTTGTCGGTTTTTTTGTAATGTTTGTAAACTTTGTTATTTTTGTGCACTATGTTTGTAAACTTTGTCATTTTTGTGCACCATGTTCGTAATGTTTTTTATGTCTAAAAAACACCCGGGTTGACTTTGGGAATGAGCCCCTCTATATAGGGATGGAGCCTCCAAAGTCAACCCGGGTGTTTTTTCCCGTTCGTATGGATTGTCGGTCTAGTTTGTCATTTTTGTCCACCATGTTCGTACTGTTTGTATGTCTAAAAAACACCCGGGTTGACTTTGGGAAGGAGCCCCTCTATATAGGGATGGAGCCTCCAAAGTCAACCCGGGTGTTTTTTCTTTTTGTATGGTTTGTATTGTTTGTCGGTCTAGTTTGTATTGTTTGTACAGTTCATACGTTTGTAATGTTTGTATGTTTTGTCGCTCTAGTTTGTACTGTTCGTATGTTTGTATGGTTTGTATTGTTTGTCAGTCTAGTTTGTATTGTTTGTACAGTTCATACGTTTGTAATGTTTGTATGTTTTGTCGCTCTAGTTTGTACTGTTCGTATGTTTGTATGGTTTGTATTGTTTGTCAGTCTAGTTTGTATTGTTTGTACAGTTCATACGTTTGTAATGTTTGTATGTTTTGTCGCTCTAGTTTGTACTGTTCGTATGTTTGTATGGTTTGTACTGATTGTAAATCCGGTTTGTATACTTCGTAATTTTTCATAATACCCAAACTACCCCTGCTATTAATTAAATAGCCCTTCCCACTTTTTAACCATTGGATTGAAGTGTCCAGATCTAATGGCTAAGAGGGACTTAGTTCAAGTGACTAAGCACCCCCCTTAGTCACCAAATCTGCACTCTTTGCATGCATATGTGGATTTTACCAAACGGAAAAGATTAAACCAAAGCCCACGTACAGCTTTATTTCTTCCTGTTTTCTCACTTTATATGGGCCCAAGTCCAGAGGTTGTTTTCTAGACGCATGCAAGGAGGCCTATTAACTAACTATTGTAGTTTGTAATGGGCCGGCTCAGAAAGAAATTGAAACCTTTCTTTAGTTGGCCGAAATAAACAAATATATGTCTTCAGTTTTCATAATTCACCTCACAAACACTATTTAAGCAAATTATAAGCATAAATTTTAATAGCTACCCTAATATAATTGTGAATTTTAAGCATCAAATCTCAAGCAAACAAACTAACATACAAATATTGCAAATGCAACTGATTTTAAAAAAAAAATCTAAAAGAGAATAAATATGTCTAGTTAAATTATTTTTAAATTAAATAGAGGATTGTCCTTCGTATGTTTAGTAGAATCTGAATGAGAATTTTTTTGAATAAGATATATAAAAATTGATTAATTTATGTTGTCTTTATAATTTTATGTAATTGTTTGCATCATAATGATGAGAATTGTGTTCCATAACTATGCAATCCTAACATCATACTCACCTTACGCATATTGAACAAGTGCTTATAGAAACTTAACCATCCAAGTGGATCCCAGCACCATACTTCTCTCCACGGCCCATATTAACTCTGTTTTTCTAAAAGCTTTACCGACTACATTTTCCTACTACATTTACTAAAACTCAAAACACACACCATCTATAAAATATAATTCTAGAACAATGAAGTTCTTTTATTTTATTTTATTTTATGCTCAAGCCTCCACTAAGTTAAAACTGTAGTCACTATCCACTTAAAATAACCCCCACTTGCAAAGGCAGAGTAGTCAAGAACCATGATGTTGATTGAGTGAGTACCTGAATCACAAGGGAACCAACTCCACCAGCACCACCAAGAACAAGAATGGACATCTCACTGGTTAACCCAACTTTCTCAAGGCCCTCCAGTGCAGTCTCAATGGCGAGTGGGAGACTAGCTGCTTCAGCAAAGCTCAAGTTTTGTTTTGGGGCTTAAGAGCCAAAAGCTTCTCTTCCACAGCAGTATACTCTGCCAAAGACCCATACTTCTTGGGTTGAACCAGAGCTGCCTCGTTAATATTCCCGTATACTTCATCTCCAACTTGTAGGTTCTTCACTTTGCTTCCGAGTTCAACCACCACGCCAGCAACATCGTAACCTGGAACTGTCTGAATATAGAATAAATATTAGTATCTTAATAGGAATATTCTAACATCAATTGGGGTGGTGGCGCAGTTGGTTAGCGCGTAGGTCTCATAGCAATAGAGTGATCCTGAGGTCGAGAGTTCGAGCCTCTCTCACCCCAATGTTTGTTTTTGTATTTCAAACTAATTAAGCAAAATGTTGATGACTATACTTGCTAGTTGCTACTATAGTTCATATTCGATTTTGTTTTTTATATCTTAAACATTAATCTCTACAATTTCATATGAGCACGGCTACGGTTTTCAAAGGGTCATATTCAAATTGTTATTATACATTGAAACAATTAATCTCAACAATTTTGCATTGGATTTTGTTTTTTATATCTTAAACATTAATCTCTACAATTTCATACGAGCACGGCTACGGTTTTCAAAGGGTCATATTCAAATTGTTATTATACATTGAAACAATTAATCTCAACAATTTTGCATTCAATACGGTTTCACATACATGTCAATAATTATACAATTTCAATTTTATCAAGCATCATGTCCGATCATTTTTATACCTTAAACGATTAGTTGTATTTCTTACATTTCTACACAGACCTATTACCCCCAATAATGATTGTAAGATCCACATGTATCATCAGTAGACAAGTTTGATTTTAGTATGTTCTAGCGGGAGCTATCTTACGAGAAGTCATCTTCATGTTACAAGAAATGCCGCTGGTTTCTGTTGTTTTTACTCCTAGAGAAGCGAATAGGGCTGCCCATGTTGTGGCACGCAATGCCTTATGCTACTCTGGCACTCGTAGTGTTTGTTTTAACTGTTCTTACCTCCTTTGACTGTTTTCTCACGAAGAAGCCGTTGATTTGTGGCTATCTCGTGCTTATCTAGTTAATCCGCAAGGGTTTCTATGACAAAAAAAAAAAGTTTGATTTTAGTATGAGTCATATCTACTTGATCTCTAGAAATCAGGTATTCATGATTCTCCTGAAAATGAAACCTTCCACTGTGCATATCCCAAATTGATTTTACATCCATTTTCTCGGAATTTTTTTAGATAAAGATGAAATAGGTTAATTTTTTGAAGTTAGGTGCTAGGATTAAAATGGTTCATATTCTCAAGACTCTCCCCTACTGACCCAAGATCTCAAGTGAACAAATATCTAACAAAGAAGCTTGTAAGTTGTAATTTTAGAATTGGAATGCTGTATATAAAACAAACAGAGACACAGCAGACTAGTTTACCGGTGGAGAAGAATCAGTGGCTTTGATAGCTCCCTCCATTCTCTTATAATCCAACGGATTAAGCGCTGCAGCAACAACCTTGACGAGAACTTGATCTTCTTTCACATCAGGAACTGGGACTTCAGATTCCAGTTTCAGGACCTGGGCAGGGTCGCCATATTCAGAGTAGACCCAACCCTTCATTTTGGCGGGAACAGTCACAGCACCACTACTACTCATGGTATTATTTATTTCTTTCTTTGGTGTTTACTTCTAGCTGAAGATCAATGATCATGCTCCCATGTTCATTATATATACAACTGAAGTGACAGGCAAGGAAATATTATTATTAACAGTTTGGAAATAGGATACGTAGGTTTGGCGTCACCGTTGATGCAAGCAAGAACAGCAACCATTTTCCTGGTATTGAAATGAAATGAGTCCTCTCAAACTACGACAGATATGTAGAGAGTTGTTGGCATTTGTTAGTGGAGGGGTGTCACTGAATAGATAATGGAAATGCTTCCTGTACTGGAAATCAAGTCATGTCCCCTCACAGGACGGGAAGACTTAACGAGCATCTCTCTCAATGTCGCAATAAGCTGCGTTGAGGGATCGCGTCCTATGAACAATTCGTGGTCTGGTTCGTTACCAACAGAGAGAACCACGGCAGTACCACAAGTCACAACCCTGACTCCATTGTGAGCCAGAGGTTGAGGTGGTTGGTACAAAATGTGCAGAACTGGGAACAAGTGTAGCCCCCGGCCAGCCAGCATCGTTTCCCTGGAAGTCTCCCGAAAGCAAACTCATCAAGCTAAATGAAATTGTTTGTAATGTATTCTATAACATTCTGAGAAACGACACTATGGATATAGTGGCTGGAACCCTCAGCTTGATGGCAGGCAAAAGGAATTAGAAGTACTGCGTCCACAGAAAAGGGGAGGCAAGCTACAGATTTCTCAAATTAAGATGTTGTAACAGAAAAGGTAGCATGAGTTTATGAGTGGCAAAAGTGCTACAACGTACAATTCCTTCTCAAATGCCACCTAAACGTCTAATTGAATACAACAAACAATTGACACGCCCTATCAAAACTCATACACCAACCATGGATGAGAAAGGAGATCGTGAGAGCGATCGATCAAGCTCATCTAGTCTCTCTGTATCTAGTCCCGAGTATTATGCAGATATTCTCACTACTATGTACGCAAGTTTGTATGGTATTCATTATTCTCCATCGTATATCTTTCCCCATTCCAAGCACACCAAGAGGATCTCAAAGTAGGTACTACAATGAATGTGAAGTGAAGAGAGTGTAACCAGACAGAATCGAGCTCGATGCAAAGGCAACAAAAGCTAGGAACGACAGGATGAGAGATGCTCGTGCCATGCCCGAGAACTCGTCACTCCCCCAGTTGGATTCCCAGTCCTCCACTCTGAACGCTGCTGATGTCGATGCAGACAGCAGAAGATATGCTATTATCTGCATATGGCATAAAGAAAATTATGCGACCCTGTCATGAAACTGAAACGACATCTCCTAGAAGGCATCAATTCCATAAGGAGAGAAAGCTGCAAGTTTGATGGATAAGAAAGCATATGAATAGGGTCACACATAATGCATAAGGTTGACCAGGACATACTTAGCAAGAATGTATTATGTGTTGAATTAATTTGTGGCCTTTCTCAAAGTTTATGATCCCAAGCTTCACATCATAAATTGCCATCTGCTGAGAATATGAATTGCAGACAGCACACTACCAGCTTGTTCCTACTGGAAATGGTCCAAAAGGTATAAATTCGACTCAGAGTAAAAAGGAATTGCCTTTTCATGCAACATGATCCTCTCTACAGCTTAGCTTTTCACACGGTACTTTAGAAGCATAACAAGAAGGGCATTTTGAACAAGCTTATTAAGGCTCCTCGCAAAGGCGGAAAGGCTCATTGGCCACTTGCAATTATATTCTATCCTCAACTATGAAAGAAAGAACAAACAACCAAAGCAAAACAACAGTCGACAGTAGGTGGCTCCAAATAAAAAGGCAGCATCATTATGGGGGAAAGGGAAGAGGAATAGGTAGTAGTATTAGAGTAGAGGGGAAAGACATATTCCAAGCAAATAACAACCACACAAAGAAACAAATAAAGACATGGCCCAAAATATTCTGAACTCCAACCAAGAAACTTCCATAGAAAAGGACATTAACCCACCTGAACACCCATTTACTATAAACAGGATACAATCAATAGCCAGTTGTTGACGGAGTTTTTACAGTATAGAGAACAGAGTGATGTCGACTAGTTTAGCAAGAGGTCACTCAACCGGCCATGGATCCTTTTTTGGGACAGTGGTCCAAAAGCAAGCTCACAGAACAGGATAAACACATCAAATAGCAACCCATGAAAGCTTCTTGCCACATTAGGAATCGAGTGGTGGCTAATGAAGCAAAGTGCATAGGTTAGGTGGGAGGATGAATGGATGATGAGAAGGTGGCATAGTGACGTATTTAATATGATCAAAAGGGACAGTGGAGCTTGCCTGGTCCAGAGAGAAATCGAAGCAATCCCGGAGCCAGTTCCCGGTTGGGCTATGAACTCTTTTAGTGAGCATTGAGTAAGCAAGATCAAATGCTTGGACTCCTGAGTACACAAACCCCACCACGTTCACTGTCAAGCAATACCTGAAGGAGAAGGGCAAGGGAAAGGATATAACAACAAAGCCAATCAACAAAAACATCATTGAATTGCTAAATCAATTCATAAAGTACTCTCATTTCATTGACTTTCATCTCCTGGATCAGTTGAATCTGTAGCAAAATGGTGATCGAATTAAATATACTAACATCATTACCATCTAAGCTAGGCTATTAGTAACAAAACAGTCACTCTGTAACCAATGTGCCAATTAGGCTTGCCATGACACCAAAATCAACACTCAACTTGTGAGCAAACGCATGAACTCGAGATCCAGTTCATTTCCAAATCGTTAAGGGGCTGCTCTGGTGGATGCATCAGTAGGGATTGACCGATTTCGGTGAAATTGTAAGCCTATTTGACATGCTACCTCAACCCAGCACATGAAGTGACCGTTCTGTTCTGTGACTATTGCTAGCTTAATGAGCATTTTGTTACAGACACAGATTAAAGAATGTTACTCTGCTGATTGTGCTACATTACCTGAACTCCTTGTAGCGGTAGAAAGACTCGAGCGCCCAGCCTTGATCCTTATCAGCAGCCAAAACAGCCAGGGAAATCAAGCAGAAGACAAACCCCAAAATCCTGGAAACCAAGAGAGCTCCCCGCCTAACGTTCTCCAACTTAGCCTTCCTCATAATCGACAAATTGGGTCTCAATCTTCTCCCCCCAGTAGCCCTCCCACCGCCATCAACAGCAGGAGGAGGAGGAGGAGGAGCACCGCCTCCCCCTCCATCTGGGGCGGCATTGGACGGCCCAGAAGCCACCGGCATAGGGGCGATAGGCGGGGACTCAGGGGACGGCGCCTCCAGAGCTCGCCGTAGCTGCGGAGGAGACTCCGCCGCCTGCTGCTGATGCTGATGCGGCGGTTGAGGAGGGGTGGAGGAAGGGGAGTAGTAGTGAAGAAGGGAAGGCGGGGGAGGGTGAGATATGTTGCGGTTGTTCTGCGTTTCCAATTGGTACTGCTGAATCGAATCGGTCTCCTGTTGCGGTGGTGGCGACTCTATTTCATAGTGATCTTCGCCTTCTTCTTCCTCCTCCATCCCCGGCGGTGGCGATTGAATATCATCTTGCTGTTTCTTCGGCTCGCGTTCTTTGTGCTCCATTGAGGAAGGAAGGAACTTGTTGCGAAATTGGAAGCGCCGGTGGCGACAAGGCTCGGTTCGGAGCGGTGGGGAATCAGCCGGCGCTTACTGTAGCTAGGAGATGGGAGTGACTGATAGATCGTTGTTTGTGGGGAAAGAGAAGAAGGGGACAGGAAATGGGCGGTGGCGGTTTCTGAAGGAGGTTTGAAATGCTGCTCTGCTCTGCTGTGGCCACTTTCAGACCAACAAGAGTCAAGTCAGAGTGACAGTGTAATATAGCTGACGTCTGAGGGGCCGATCCGCTACACGACACGTGGAATTTTAAATTCTTGAACTTTTTTTTTCTTTTGGAAAATGTAGAATGATATTTCTTACATAGATTAGAAATAGGGGTGTTCAAACGGTGTGGTTACCATGGTAATCGTTTTAACAAGTACTATTTAGATAATTTGGTTTGGTTAATTTGGATAATTGGTTTGGTTTGGTAAAGTTTTTAGCTTGTTTGGTTTAGGTGGTTTGGTTTGGTTTGGTTTCAGACACTCCTAACTAGCCAAACCAAATCAACCAGATAAATAATTAGCCATATATCTAATATATACACATACTTATACTTTGAATAACCACTCAAGAGTTAAACGTTCATCCCTTTTAGACATAAAATATAAAGTTTGATATTGTTCCATAATGTATATTTGTATATGTAGAGTGTAGACCACAACATATGAACGCCTAATTTAGATAAATCTCATACATTATGTTGGATGAAAACTTGAAAGCAAGGTCCTTTTTAGCCTATGAAAATTGCTAAAAAACTAAGTCAATTCAAATAAACACAAAAATTCATTAACCCATACCGTTTTAACCGTAAGATAATTGTCTTAGTTGCATGCATTTAAGTTAAGGGTCAACTATAACTATGTGATGATTGTTATGTTTTATTCATTATATAAATTGTGATTTGATAAATTAACCGAAATTTTCTCACTTAATGATAATGTGATTTTATATTGGTTAATCTGGCTAACCAATTAACCAAACCGATTAAACTTTAATTTGGTTAATTTGGTTGTTGTATTAGTTTGGACGGTTTGGTTATGATATTGTATTCCATGGTTAATGAAATTTAGCCTTATTTGGTTTGGTTATAACCATTGTAACCATTTGAACACCCCTAATTAGAAATGGGGAAATTTTGATCTTTATTCTCTATATTACACTTACGTACTTTACACAAAGATCTTATCATTTTTATCGAATGATGGTTAACTTAAATAAATGTTTAACCACAAATGTAATAACTGTGAAATTTTTTATTTTTAAATCTGAATTATATGACACTAATAGCCAGTAGGCTGTGTAACTTTGAGAACACGCACCCGTTCTAATGACAATAACACAAAAGATTAAAAGTGTGCTAACATCAATTCAACTCGAACGATTTATCTATTTTTTATGAGTTAACAATTAGCAAATGACATGGACGAACTACTGGGTTTAAATCCTGTGAATATTTGGTGGTGATTAGTATCCATATCACATACCAATAATGATGATAATACTAAAAACAATATCATTACTTTGGTGACAATAAGTCTAATCTAAGATTACTCAATACTTGAACGTCATTATTGAATGTTACAACACACACATGATGATACCACTCATCGAACAAAATAATACACATACATGATGACACAAAGAAGAGCTGGAAAATGGATGTTACTGTTAGTTAACTTAATAGCATCATGCCTAACAGTAAGAGGTGGACCAGGTTCAATATTTTGAGAAGAACTCGCGAGCATCATGGTACTGCCTAGACACTACATTGTACAGAGGGTGTATGGGCTCTAAGAGGTTGGAATAAGGTCCCAGCACAGAGGTCGGCAATGGCGGTGAGTTCTCGTTCTTCGACCGGCTGTACTGGCACACTGACAGCCCGCTTAAGCAGTAGCAAGTGTGGTAATAGTCCCTGGCCTTCCCTGGTTTGTCCCTGAACCCTCCCTCTTGTTCCTGCAGTTCACAACAAAGGCCAGATCTATCAACAAACACTCAGAAAGCACAGTTTGAGGCACGAAGCAGATTCTGTAGTAGATTTGTATAGATGGATAGTAATCGTAGTCCAAGTAATACATCGTTTTAACAAATACGTCCACCTACAATGATGTTTAACGGACATGTCCTTGTACTATCTTGTTATATTCCAAGGGTATATGTATTACTATACCTGGGAGCACAGGACAATGTACTGCTGCAAGGCCATAGTATGAAATAGAGGTTCCAGCTGATTGTGTCTTGAATGATGAATGTGAACCGCTGTGCTGCTCTCAGGTGAATGAGAAGAGCTCTGATGGCCTGAAGAAAAATTAGAAACGTGAGAAGTGAGCTCGCGAAATGATATGGATCTAAGAAGAGCAACAAGAATAGGAAGGAAGGGATTATCACTTACCTTCCTGGTCCGGCTCAGGGTGTAAAGCTTCATTATCATCTGATGAATCCCTATCTTCGTCATCTCCTTCAGAAGTACTATCTGAAACCCACTCTACTTCTACATCAGAAGTCCCAAAGCCTTCCCCACCAAATGCTGGCAGTCTTTGCAGCAGTGCAAATACACCTCCCTGAACAACTTATTTCAATAAGTCACGCCATGAGGAACAAGGTTCACTACAGCAGTAGGAATGGGGGACAGAAATAGCAGTACCTGCCAGAAGGAGTAACAGCCATCAACCAACTTGTTCGTTCTGCCTTGAAACCCGCATTCGACTCCTTGTCGAAAAGCTACCCAATCCTAACACAAAAGAAAGAAAGCAGTCAGACAGACAGTTGTTGAAGAAGAAAAATATGAAAAACAAACAAAAGCATAATTTTCTTACAATTAAACTAGCCAAGTCCAAAGAATTGGCTTGGTTGATGAGAACCATAGCAGCCAATCCACAGAACGTGTACCTGAATATCAACCCTTGAAATATAAGGAGGGCTTTGTTCAACGAGAAAGCAACTAACTCATGCTTGCAAATACAGAGATGGGAGCAAGTATCATTCTCCTAAAAATTTAGCTATTCTGGGACGAACAAATTAGGAAGAATGAAACCTACCCTCCATGAGCTTCGGAACCAGGTTCCCCCGCAATACCACCTTCATAAGTCTGACAACTGTAATAGGATACCAGAAAAATAGAAGGGTTTCAATCCTTCTGTCCTCAGAAAGAACTACTAATGTAACAGATTTTCCTATTAAAATGGGACACTTTCTGGTTATAGAACTTATTTGTCTCATCAATTTGAAAGAGTTATGCAATATGAGGACCATGCTATCTTCAATCAATTCGAAACTGAATTTAAGGGAAAGACAATTCAAAGGGCTTGCTTATGACGCAGAAATTTGAGGACCTTATACAAACCTCAAAATATAATTTCCAACGCCCTTGGCCAGCTCATCATCCAAAATGTTCAGAATGCTTGCGACCTGGACAAATTAGGTAACATGAAATGATTATGCATTTGAGAGGGTTTAGGCAGAATCAAGACAACCACAAACAAAGAAGCCACTAGATTTCAAGTCTTAAGAGTGATTCCGTTCCATACAATTAATTTATTCACATGCTTGTACATTTCTTTACATGCTTTACCTATTACACCAGCAGAGAAGAGCTGCCTTACCGAAATTGCAGTGTAGCATGCTCTTACATCAATTTCCCCAGCATCATGCATCCTGAAAAGAAGAACAGGTCAAGTCATGTTTATACCAGAAAACACTCAATGGCCACATGATTTCCACTAATCATATGACAAAGAACCTGCAGTGTCATATCACACAACATATGGTGGGCATTACGATAGTGACGAATGCATTTAATGGGAAGGGACAACATGGCAAAGAATGGATGCAAACCAGCCTGGACAGAAATGAATTTTATTTTCACCTAATATGGGAAGGAATCAGCCAGTTATTAGCAGTTACAGCCTTACAGGAACATTGCACAAGGAGTTCGAATATGAAAGCAGCTGAACCAATCCGGGAAATGTAGGGAGATGCAGAAATTAAAAAATGAAGTCCCAGAAGAATATTAACTAAGAACATCAATACATGGTGCAACAATTTCAATAGAAGAGCATGAAATTAATTTTCTTAGCCTTGATATTCTTGTATTATATAATTCAAGTAAAGGGTTCTACATACAAGAACAACAAGAGCTCAGCAACAAACAAGATGAGGGCAAGAAAAAAGAAGGAAACAAAGGAGAAGAGAGCAAATAAGAAAAAGTGTCACCTGAAGGCTCCACTAGAGTCTTTCATTCGGCTTAAGAATTTGTACAAATTATCTCTGGGAACAACAATGGATAACCATGTTAAGAAAGGGTTTCAAATCACAGATCCACTATCGAAGGGTGAACTCTTCACAATCATAAAGACTGACCACCTATTAATTGACGACAACGCTTTATGTCCGCCCAAAGTGACAAGAGAATTGACTGCAGCATACGTTGTTGCAAGATGAGGCATCTGAAGACAAAGAAACGGGAGTACGAAAATAAGTACATAAGTAACCACAAAACCGCAACCATTCTCCGACCGATCCAGTAAAGTGCAAATGTTTCAGCAACTTGCCTGCCCTGGTCCACCCCCATAGCCACCATTTGGATCCTATCACCCGAAAAGATACAATCACTCGTCAAAAACAAGTTAAGGTAGAACAAAGATATCAGCTGAACTGCAGTCTAGCCAATCGCTAAATGACTAATAGCTCTCTAACAAAACAAACTCAAGACCACGGTCAAATGCATAAATGAAGCAAAAAAAATCAAGGACTTTATGTCGAATTGTAACATCTCCTCAATCGGGTTTGACCAGGAACTCTTGCTACTAGACCACATTCCCAGAGGATAAAGGGAAAGCACTAAATACCATCAAATTTTCAACATAAATAGTTTGGTTTCTAGTCAGTAACTCAGTATCCACAAGAAGATGTTTACCTGACAACGGCTAAGAAAGTCGATGGCATTATCCTCCAATTCATCGTCAACTGATTCCCCAAGTAGAGCAATTGAGTGCAAGATCCAGTAGCAAAGCCAAGGTCGACTGCGCTCATACAACACAACTTTCAGAATTGAAGCAGTCCAAATTGAACTACACCAAACGAAACAATCATCAAGAAAGAAAGCTACACAAGAAGAAGGAAGAAGTACGCACTTAGCATCCAATACAACGAATGAGGGACCGAGCTGCTGGAGTCCTCTGGTCAGATACTCTACATGCTTATCTCGTTGAAGCTCCAATCTACCAAAGAATCAACTAGTAATTCCATCAAAATCCAAAGCTAAAGCAGCAAGCAGTCCAAAGAAGAGCGATGGATAAAGCACATCCGTCTTACATTACAGATTGAGCGCTGCGAGGAATGCTGGCGAAAGCGCCGTAAATCTTAAAAACCTGATCCTGAACAGTCCACTGATCCAACTGGCTCGCCGTCGCCCTTCTTTGCCGCCCCGTCGCCGTCCCCTCCCCCTCCATAACGCCGACGATGTTAGCAGAATAGTTCAAAACGGGAGGTTTTAACTTCTGGGTTCTTTGCTTAGTGCTTACTATACCGGGTTTAGTATTTCGATTCCCTCCCGCCGTACGGAAGGCGGAAAAGAAATAGCCTGCTGATCGGCGGCGAGACTTACCAAACTGGTTTATTTTCCCGTGGACCCCAATAACTTAATATTGGGCCTAGCCCATCGTTGAAAGTTTTTTGGGCTATTGGCCGGGCTTCAGAGTCCACACTAATGTGCCACGCAACACGCTAGCAGAGCAGATCAGATCGTGAAAAGATATGTCACAGTCCGGCGGCCGCAAGTCGGGTAACGGGTGACCCGCCACCAGGAGGCAAAGACAAATTTGGCCACGTCTTCGCAAGTTCGCATAATAAGTACGCCCCCAGAAATTAGCTCTGCCAGAATCATCAGAGAAAAAGATGGCGATGATGATGATGAATCTGAAGCGAGCTGCAACCTCTGCAATTCGAGCTTTACCGGCGGCTCCTTCTTCCACCGGAGCTCTGGCTAGACACCTCCACGTAAGCATGCGCCGGCCACTCTTTTATCTTCTTATTCTTCCACCACTGTTTTCTGCTCTCTGCTCTCCTGCCGATCGCCGCGGTTTTCCATATCCTTTTTTTTCCGAGCTGGGCCGTGCAGGTGGCAGTAGAGTAGTAAATGTGCATTGCGTTTTTTTTTTTTTTTTTTTTTTTACTGGTTGAATGGTCAAGCTGCGTAACTCACGAGTCACGCCAACTACTCACTCGTTCACCGACTCGCTCGCTTGACGAGTTATCTGAACTCTTGAGCTCAAGCTCGCCTTTTCATTCACCTGTGCATTTGATGAATTTCGTTACTCCGCCTTGAAAATTGATTTGTTTCGATTCTCATTGGATGGAGGGAACAACTGTGAATTCAGGGTTCTGTGGGGGAGAGCAAGAAGATCGTGGGAGTGTTCTACAAGGCCAACGAGTACGCCGAGAAGAACCCCAATTTCTTGGGCTGCGCCGAGAATGCTTTGGGGATACGGAGCTGGCTGGAATCTCAGGGCCACCAGTACATCGTCACCGACGACAAAGATGGACCCAACTCTGGTGAGTATGCCTTAAGAAGAAACAAACGAACACTCCATTTGATTTGCTTGCAGAATCCCCAGTTGCCAGTTGACTAGAAGGTGTTTGATGATTTGACAGAGCTGGAGAAGCACATTCCTGATCTCCACGTTCTCATATCAACCCCATTCCACCCTGCCTACGTGACGGCTGAGAGGATCAAGAAGGCCAAAAACTTGCAGCTGCTTCTCACCGCGGGAATCGGGTCCGACCACATCGATCTGCCCGCCGCTGCTGCCGCCGGGTTGACAGTTGCAGAGGTCACGGGGAGCAATGTGGTCTCCGTTGCTGAGGATGAGCTGATGAGGATTCTCATCCTGATGAGGAACTTCTTGCCTGGTTATCACCAGGTGATCAATGGGGAGTGGGATGTGGCTGGTATAGCTTACAGGGCTTATGATCTTGAAGGGAAGACGATTGGGACGGTTGGGTGTGGACGAATTGGGAAGCTTTTGCTCCAGAGGCTCAAACCTTTCGGCTGTAATCTGCTTTACCATGATCGGCTCAAGATGGAGCCCGAGCTGGAGAAGCAGATCGGATCCAAGTTTGAGGAGGATCTTGATGCCATGCTTCCCAAGTGTGATGTAGTTGTCATTAATACCCCACTTACTGAGAAAACCAAGTGCGTGCTTGCAGTGATTGAGCTATACAAATTTCAGTTCTTTCAGTACAGGGTTGATCTGTAAGTTTTGTGCTATCATGAACTGGATTGTATGTCTTTGTGTTGCAGGGGAATGTTTGATAAAGATAGGATTTCCAAGATGAAGAAAGGGGTTCTGATCGTGAATAATGCTCGAGGAGCTATAATGGATACACAAGCAGTTGTTGATGGCTGCTCCAGTGGACAGATTGGAGGTACCTCTGTATATTCCTGGAACTAACTCAGTAACCAATAATGTTTGCAAGTTTATATCAGCTTACGCCGTGTTGACCTTTTGAATATGAGCAGGGTACAGTGGGGATGTTTGGTATCCACAGCCAGCTCCGAAGGACCATCCATGGCGTTACATGCCAAACCAGGCAATGACTCCTCATATCTCTGGCACCACCATTGATGCACAGGTGAGTTCTTTCTGGTTCGACACTCTGTGTGATTGTTTCTGTTTCATTTTCCAGCTGAATTTTACTGGCGAGTCTAATCCCAATCTGGAAAATTGGCAGTTGAGGTATGCTGCTGGAGTGAAGGATATGCTGGACAGATACTTCAAGGGAGAAGATTTCCCCACGCAGAATTACATAGTCAAGGAAGGCCAACTTGCAAGCCAGTACAAGTGACCTCGCTTCTGCATCTGCGTCGAGAATAATAATGTGGCTCTAAGCATGGTAGAGTTCAACTTGTAATCCTTAGGCTATGTAATGGAAGACAATCTCTGCATAGGTCTCAATAAACTTAACCGTTAAACAGAGAGAACTTCTGATGAAAAAGATTTGGTCTTCGGAAATTGGATGGTGAATTGGTGATAAATGTGTATGCCTTAGAGATGGTTTAAATTTCGCCAGCAACAATCATTCAGCTATTCGCAACCTGGTTCCGGTACATCGGATTCCAAGTAACAAGCAGGGACCTCTATTCTCTTCAATCAACTGCAATCTGCTCCGGCAAGCAGAGAAGCGAATGAACTCGTTGACATTCTCAATCAAGAACTCTTAGTATGCACACATACAAATACTTTTTAACTATCATTGTTCTGCTGAAGGAACTGGAGATCTTTCATCTGCAATTGAACAGCTTCTTTGGACAGCTGTTTGGCCTCTGGGACATCCATTCCATCTAAACCTTCAGCCACTCTTGTTGCTTTCTCTTCCAGAATCCTCTCCATCTCTTTCGGCTTAACCAATGGGAAAACCGCTGCCAACATTACACTGAGAAGTCTCTTGTCTTCCTCTTCTATAGGATCCTTCCCAAAGCAACAAACATAAATTGCATCTAACGCCTTCTCTGCTCGGGCCTCCATCGGAACAAAAGGCGCTGCCCCTTTCGACTTTGATCGTCTCTACAGTTGCACAATGTGCCGCAAAAAGATTTAGTCCAGGCGAGTATAACTAACTAACAGATTCCAGTTCTATTGTTTCTGAAGGTCTGAGTCCTACCTCTTTCGCTGCATCCATCAAAGCAATGAAACTCTGCTCTTCGAATTCAATATCGGTGGAAATCCGAAGTCTTGCTACCCCTTCCAAAATCTCTTCAGATTTCAGGAGCCCTGCACCTACAGCCGCCACCCAACAGCAAAGCAGAACATATAGAGGATCCCCTGCCTACAAGGACGAGAAAAACACTTTAATCAAATTTCATTGCCGCAAATGATCGAACACCAGACGAGCAAGCAGAATTACCTTGCCGCGCCTGTCCTTGAACTCGACAAAAGCTCTGGAGTCCATAATGGTGCATTTCTTGCCGACCCTCCTTCTGAACTCCGCGAAATCGATGAGGTCGCTTCCGACTCCGCCTTCGTCGCTGATAATTCTGGCTATGAGACCGACAACGGGGAGGGAACCGATGACTTTGTTGGCGAAGCCGGAGATGGAGTTGGGGTTCTCCATGTAAGCTCTGACGGAGAGTAATCCATTCGAATTCTGCGAGTGCCGAATTCTGGGTACTGCGTAGTTTACGAAGATTCTGTGCTGGAAGCTTTGCAGTAATGGCGAAATGGAAGATAGGGATGAAGGAGGTGATGTCGGAGTAGTCACCACCATGGCTGTGAAAGCATATGTGGCGGGTTAATCTTTGATTTCCCCGTGGTTTATCGGCCGCACGTTTATATACGTTATCCACAACGAGGAATAGCAGTTATAGGCTCATGGGCCGAGTTTTTTAATTGGGTTTGGCCCGTGAGACCGAAGTTGGTAATTCTCCAGCGCGCCCTGATAAAATATTTGTTTTTACTTTTTAGTGCCATTTTCCTTCTTTTTTTTCTTTTGTCATATGGTGCCTAAATCCATTATATTAATTGAATCGGGATATAAATATCTCATCATGGCCATATCCCTATGTAGAACATATTTTCAAGTCAAATTTTTGAACTAGTGTAAGATTTCAATTCCCATATAGCACAATGCTCAAAAATTGAATCCATTCCAGATCGTAATAGTGAAACTCATTAGACATACAACAAAATTAGTATAAATCAGATATAGGTTAGCCTATATATATATATATGGTGGCATCTTCGGTGCACCAACTTTTTTTGGTGCATTCAATGCATTCGCCTCATAATCGTCATTCTTAGCAGGCGATTCAAGTGAAAACAATGTCAATCATCACTTGTAGTATGATGGACAAGAAACACATGAATTTGTACAAAAAATATTCTAGATTTACTTTAATTTGAATGATTTAGGGTTTATGAATTTATGGTTAGGGTTTAGGTTTACGATATGGGATTTTGGGTTGGGATCCAAAATTGAGGGTTAAGGGGTTAGAGTAATGGATTGATTAGTTGTGATTCTATGTTATGTTATCATATTAGACTAATGTTACCAATTAAAGTTCAAAATTTATTGTATTATGCCTACTTTTAGAGTTGGATGTATGGTATGCTTGTTGGATGTGATAAAAGTATCTTCTTATTATTAATAATATAATAACTACTACAAAATAATTAAATGAACGATACAAAACTACAAAAACGGTAACACTATATCACTTTAGAATAATGTTGTTATCTCAATAGTATCAACGTATTTTAAAATCTTGTACGCTCGTATGATATATTGATAATATCTTACTACAAGTCTGCATAAAAGAAAAACTTACCAACAAATGAACAAGATTATCAAAACTTCAATATCATGAAGTAGTAGCATTTGAGTCCAACAGTCATGTGATTAACATCATCACATGTGAGCTAATCAACCCTCTAGAATGAGAAAGTTGACGAGAAACAAGAACGATAATCAATTGATGGTGTCAGTCACATGATGAATAACAAGACCAACATGTTTGTTCGTGAGAACTGTTTTCCTCCTTATTAACATCTTCATTTCCTATGTGTTGTAACCATGGTTTGTGAAATCGTACCATAATTGTGGTTCAACCGCAAAATACAAGTACTGCGGTTAAACTGATAGGCGGTATTTAATGACATTAACGGTTGAATATGAAACTGGTACAATATTCTCCAGTACGGTTTCACAAACCATGGTTGTAACTGAACATGAAACCCACAATGCTAAAAATTAAAAAAAAAAATACACACATTTTTCTGGTTCAGTAACACGATGTGTGATAACTACTCTACGGATTAAATAGATCAGTTTCACTATATTTGAGGAAAATACATGTTATAGAGTGATGAGAAGATATATCACACATTCTTTAAACCCGAAACAAAACATCCAAATCCTAATTGGAAATGAAATGTCCGAATGAAAAAGACTACTGAATAAGAACAAAACCGAAAACATATGTATGTATATATATATATGAACATAGCAACACAATGCAACCTTGAAATAAACCGCAGCAGATTGCCCATAGCATTCCTCCCAATTGCAAGCTTCTGGCACAGAACCAACTTGGTAAATTAATGGCATCGGAATAAGTCCATATGATCAGAAGGAAAAGGAAGAAGGAATGTGTAAGTTTGGAAGAAGGATAAGATAGAAGAGAAGGGAACACTGAAGAAGAAGAAGAAGTGGGTAGGGAAGAAGGAAGATACGTATTGGTCAGTCAGCCAAAGTCCATGTGCCCACATGCCCTGACTGCCTCATACCCATACGTCCCTCCTTCAATGCCATCAATAAAAGCTCCTAAAACCCCGACTCGCCGGACTTTTATTGGGGTGAAAGTTGAAGCGAAAAATTGTTAGAAAATACAGATTTAAGAATATGAAATTCAACAACTTATAATAATTCACCCCAAAAAAATAGCATATAATGATGAAGTTCACCAAGAATCGCATATATCCCATATGTACTTTGGGAATAATTACGTAGTCCATTATCACAACAATTCGAATGAGATTAGTTAAGCAAACGTAAATTTGGAGGTTTGGATATGTGAGATTATAATACCAAACAAAAGGAAGAAACTAACCACAACTACAATCGATTGACACTCGAGTTACATGTGAAATGTTTATGTTCAAAACCCTCCTAAACGATAGTTTCAAGTCTCCTAATAAAGTTTGTGGTTGACCAAGCCTTCCCTGATAAGTAAATTAAAAAGCTGAAATGTGTATACATTATGATACGATACAATATAATACAATGTTTTGAATTCACATGAAATCATTAACCGAAAAAACCAACGAAACTTAAATTGTACAACGCATAAAGTAAAGGGCAGTTAGTGGCATTACTATGATGTCGTCCTCGATCCATAGTGGCATAGTATATACGGATCCAGCATATAAATAGCAACACGGACACCCACCACCACACCAGTCTTCTTGCTGCACCTTCCTTCCTCTGCTTTCTCTTTCCCCATTTATTCATTGATGTCTCTCAACTTCCTTCCATCACCAGAACAACAAGAAATAAGAGGAAGCACCGAAGAACTCTGAAAAAAAAGCCACACAGAGAGAAACAGAGCAAGTGAGAGCCATGAAGGAGAAGAGCGAGAGCGGTGGTGGTGGTGGAGGGTACGTGAGAGCTGATCAGATAGACCTCAAGAGCCTCGACGAGCAGCTGCAGCGCCATCTCTCTCGCGCTTGGACTACGGATCAGAAGAACAATTCTGCCTCCACCAGGTCCGAGGGTGGCAGCGGATTGCTTCATCCACCTCTTCCTCCTCTGCCTCTCACCTCCTCTGCCTCTGCCTCTGCCACCTTCAACTCTGCCGCCGCCATCCCCGCCGTGGTAACTGGGCGGAGGCCCGAATGGGAGATTGACCCGGCCAAGCTCATCATCAAGTCCGTCATTGCTCGTGGCACCTTCGGCACCGTCCACCGTGGCATTTACGACGGCCTCGATGTTGCTGGTCAGTATTATATTATCACTCTGTCACTGCTCTTTTGTGGCTCACTATTTCTTCATTTACTCTGTCCATTTTAATTAAATTCAGTTCTGAATGATCATGATGATATTATCAAGATAGCTTCTAGATTAGCAGGAACAAGGCGATGTGGTAACTTCAAAAAGTTCCAAGTTGACGTCTTTAGGCTTTTAAGGAAGTGGTAATTGCTCACGAACTACTGATTTAACGATACCGATGGTCGGTTTGAATTTCATGTTATTAGTTTTTCGTGTATGATCAATCAATTAACAAACTACTCCAATCTCCCATTGTAAATTACACTAGGAGATGTGTGCTCGGTAGAGGATTAATTATCATAGCCCCTTCTCGTGAGCCATGATTTTCCTTTTTCTCGGCAGCCAAACAGGGGAACAGCTTTTCCTCTGGCATTATCCAGATGAATACTGTTACAGAATCCGTGATTTTTTTTTTTTTTTTCACGAGATCATCGACGGGTTTCCCAAGCTTTTTATAGTTTAACATTTCTTCTGGGTACCCTTTTTTCATGAAAAAGTTTCAAACTTTTCGGCTTTTAGTAATAAAAAAATTCACTTTTTACTGTTGGATAAAAAAGAGTTATAATAATTGAACTCAACTCACTCTCGTTGTGGTTGGTTCTTGGTTGGGTTGGGCAGTGAAGCTGCTAGATTGGGGAGAAGAAGGTCACAGATCAGATGCAGAAATAGCATCACTAAGGGCTGCTTTTACTCAAGAAGTAGCTGTCTGGCACAAGCTTGATCACCCCAATGTCACCAAGGTATTTTTCTTACTTACACTGTTCGTGTTTTTGTCATACCATATCGTCGGTATGGGTTAATGGCACATACCAACGACCATGTTGATACTACTTTATAATGTTTCATGCACGATTTTGCTAAACGGTTAATGTCAGCGAGTTTGATTTTCAATTTGGTCAACAAACATGTGCAGTTCATAGGGGCTACCATTGGATCAGCAAGTCTAAACATACAAACTGAGAATGGACACATGGGTATGCCAAGCAACATATGTTGCGTAGTAGTGGAGTACTGCCCTGGTGGTGCTCTCAAGACTTACCTCATCAAGAATAGACGAAGGAAGCTAGCCTTTAAAGTGGTCGTCCAAATCGCACTCGATCTTGCCAGAGGGTTATTCATTCTCTCAACTCTCTCTCTCACAGTATGTTGTTGGTATTGTTATGTACCTAACTTAACTTAGGAAACTTTCAGGTTGAGCTACCTACACACGATGAAGATCGTCCACAGGGACGTGAAAACGGAGAACATGCTCCTTGACAAGTCGAGGACCGTCAAGATTGCCGATTTCGGTGTGGCTCGCCTTGAGGCCTCGAACCCCAACGACATGACAGGAGAAACAGGGACCCTAGGATACATGGCACCCGAGGTTCTGAATGGCAATCCGTACAACAGAAAGTGTGATGTGTACAGCTATGGCATTTGTCTCTGGGAGATATATTGTTGCGACATGCCATACCCTGACCTCAGTTTCTCGGAAATGACGTCGGCTGTCGTTCGGCAGAACCTGAGGCCCGAGATACCGAGGTGTTGCCCTAGCTCACTGGCAAACGTGATGAGGCGATGCTGGGATGCAAACCCTGACAAGAGGCCCGAGATGGAGGAGGTCGTTACAATGTTGGAAGCAATTGACACGTCGAGAGGTGGAGGGATGATACCTGGGGATCATCAGCCTCAGAGCTGCCTCTGCTTCCGCAGGCACCGAGGGCCATGAAAATGGAAATTGCTTCATCTCATTTGTGATGGTGACTGCTTTGGAATATACTGTAAAGTCCTTTTTTTTCTAGCTCTGCTTCATAAAAACTCATGTAAGTTGTCAGTTGATGATTTCTACAACCTTTCCTTATCATACAAGTACACCTAGGTTTCTGCCTTAGACCTACTGACATTCATCAAGAATGCCTAACCAGACAAGAATCTCATGTCTAGAAAATTTGGTGTTTAGTTCCAACCAGAACAGAAATCCTAGCCCAACAAGGATTCTATTTCATGAGAATTCGGTCTTTACTTTACAGAAGTCATTGTTACAGAAGAGCTTTGCTAAAAGCTAAGAGTAGTCTCAAAGAAACAGGTTACAACAAAGGGACGTACGACGAATCTTATACGCTTATGCTATGAAAGAATAATGTTCCTCAAATTTGGACCGAAATGAATGCTGATGATATTACATTCTCAGGAAAAATATCATAACTCATAAGAGGATCTTCTCAAGCTCGAAGGAGCACTGTACCTGTGAAGAGAACTCGGGGTCTTTCTAAGAACCTGAAAAGCAATAGAGGTCTGTAGCTCTAGCCTGCAATCTTGTAGCTTGGATTGGCCAAATTTTCGAGGCCAGCAACCACTTGCATTGACTCGATTACATCACCAACTTTCACATCTGCTAAAAGGTCCTCATTCTGGGTTATGTAACCGAACACTGAGTACCGCCCATCCAATATGTTCGCATTGCTAGGAGTGAGTTCACTTTCTTTCAGTAGCCAGAAGATTTGGCTTGAAGCTGAGTTGTCTTCAAACTCCTGTGAACAGATGAATGTTAACCATTAGGGCATATAAAAGAGTTAAGGAACGATGCCTACCATTTATATGAATTTGAGCTCCTCACATCTCTGGCCATTGCCATTGTTCCGAATGCATTGAATGGAAGCTTCGTTTGGGCCTTATATAAACCAAGCTCCTGCAACCAATACAATGGAAAACAGCCTGACCGTAAGCCTTCTGTAAATTCAAGTAAAGAGAAGGTTTGGGAGACAGATTCGAAAAAGCATGGCGTCAAGAACCCTTACTTCCAGAGTTGCACCATAGACAGGTGCTTTCTCTCCGTCCACCATGATTTCTAGAGGAATAGTTCGAGTCTTCTCTGTACTAGGATCAATAAAACCCTCTGCGGGACCTTCAGGATCCCCAGTTTGAACAACAAAGCCATCCGCTGGGATTATGATCAAAGGACATGTCAGTAAGTCAGCCCCAGATATGTCCTCAAATCTGGAAAGAAAGTGAGACTGTAAGTTTTGTATAAACTTCACCCCTCTGAATTTGCATGCCATCATAGAAGTGCCTCTGAACCAAGTCCACGAAATTCCCTGCTGTTACAGGCGCATTGTAACCATCTAGGACAATGCGGAACACACAGTCCTCGAGATTTGGGTTGTCCTTAACCTTGACCTTCATATCCACAGTTGCTCTACCTTTCAAGAGAGGCATATTTTTGTATTCTTCAGGCACTTCGTAGGGGAAGCCATTCACCATATCCTCTTCAACACTGCAGAGAAATCCAATGCCCCAGGAAGATCTCAGCTGCAGTCAATGGACAAGGGTATCTATGAGTTCTTAGATGGACTCTAGGTTCTTTTTATCAGTCTTCACTGCACAATATGAATTCGGTAGCTAATTCATGGACGTCATGATTAAACATGATCCAATCTATATACAATCTTCAACTCGCTCCTCTCTCGTCTACTAACTAGTTAGCATTGACACAAAATGCTGAAAGCAACCAACAATATTCCATAACCACCTCAATTTTACTAGGCAGCTCATGCTATTTTGATCCATGAAAACTATTAGAAAGCCGCATCTTGAAACCAAAACACAATCAAATGTGCGAAACAAAACTCTCACCTTCCAACATAATCAAGTAGCTCCTTCTGTTTAGGCGCCACGCCATCTCGGTTCCTGCTCTCCACAATCTGCTGAAGCTCATCAAGCCCAGTTTCCAGCTTGTCAAGCACTTCCCCACCTTGCGCCCTCTTTGGCTCAGCTAATCCGGCAATTATCAAACTCTTCCCCTGCTTGAGAGCTCGAGATGCCTGCCTCACATTCTACATTTTCACAAACAAAAATACAATCAATCAACGAAGAACACGAGGAGACAAAAGAGCCACCATTAAACGTTCTGCAGCCGCCTTACTCTCTCAACAGAATCAAGAGCTTTGAGCCCAGCAATCTTGAGGCTATCAGTGATATCTTCAAGCGGCTTCTGAACTTCCCTGATGGCCTTGTTATCAATTGGCAGCGCGTACCTCAACAATGCACCAGGGTCCTTAATTGGCGGCCCGGATATCAAAACGGCAACATCAGGCAATGCCGGATTGACAGCAACAGCATTCGCGTCGGGACACCAATCCGCCATCGAAGGCGCCCCAGTTATCAACCCGACCGCCAGAGCAAACGAAACAGCACACTCCTTGAAAGAAAATGAATTCCCCTCCCTCCCCTGAAACCAAAGCCCCAACATCGATTAAACCATTTGCCGCGAAGTTGAAAACTTCAATTCCAAATTGGGAGTACCACTCACCGTTGAATCAGAGCTCTTGAGTGAACAAACCGCCGGAGCTAGGCGCTTGCTGTAGAAGGAGAGTGAAGTAGTGGTGGGACTGGGAAGCAATCGATTGTGGTGGGTTCTGGGTGTGGCGGGGAAAGATGAGGAATAGTGCCACCGGATTGACGCTCCTGCTGCTGCAGCCGCCATGGGAAGTGGCAGTGGAGTACGAACAGAATGGTGGGGGGAAGAGTCCAAACGGGAAATGGAGCTAAAGAAGAAGCATTTAGTTTGACGGATAGATCTTCGCAGATGGGAAGATGGGAGATAAGGCAATAATGGTTGCTTCGCTTGGAATGGGGTCAAGTCAAGTGGAGATGGGGGAAGAAAATGAAAAACACAAGGCGGGTTCGGAAAGTGGCATCCTCCCAACCTCTCACAATTGGGAATTCGGGATAAGGCAGGGGATAGCGTTTTCGGATTTCCGTTAAGTTTTCCCTCTCGAAGCTTCCGTTTCCCGTCGCCGTCGCCGGTGGTGGGATTGGATATGGGCTGAGCTCAGGTAGATACTGTATGAGATGGGCTCCCACTTTTAATTTCTCATAATTGGGCCTTACCTTCGATCGCCATTATCCAATAATAACAATTGGTCCTTACCCACCTAGAAGAAAAGAAAACTTCACATATATTGATTGAATCCTGAACCTCAATTCTACAAACAAAGTCTCCTTCCTGTGAACCTCACCACGAAGATGGATTCTCTCCTCACCAACTTCTTCTGGTCAGGGTCAATGCAGAAAAGCACTATGCATTGGTGTAGGAAGGAGATTCTTTGCGTCCCAAAAGCAGAAGGGGGATTGGGTTTCAGGAGTTTCAAAGATTTTAACATGGCATTGTTGGCGAAACAAGCGTGGAGAATCCTTACTTCCCCGGATGCACTTTGGTGTCGGCTCCTTAAGGGTCTGTACTTCCCGAGAGGAGGATTCCTGCAAGCGAAAAAGGGAAGTAGATCCTCCTGGATCTGGGCAAGTCTTTGGGAGGCTAAGAAGGTTATCAACATGGGAGCGATTAGAGTTATCGGGTCAGGGGAGGACACATGGAGTGGTCAAGATCCTTGGATTCCGAGCATGCAGAATTTTTGATTGGAAGCGGCCCCCAGCAAAACCTGAGAGTCAAGGAATGGATAGACCCAGTTAATAGAAGCTGGAACACGGATGTGCTCCAAAGTCATGTGACGAGGGAAGAAATGGAGGCTATTCTTAAAGTCCCAATTGGGGAAGAGGGAACTGATGATTTTTGGGCATGGAGCCTCACTCGCGAGGGAGACTTCTCTGTCAAGTCGGCCTACCACGCTGTTCATAAAGCCAACACTAATTTCCAGCCGACAGGAAGCGAAGAGAGGTGGAAATGGATTTGGGGACTGAATATCCCGCCTAAACTTAAGTTTTTTATTTGGAGATGCTCCATAAATGGTTTGGCAACGAAAGCAAGACTCTTCCAACGCAAATGTGCACCTAACCCGAGTTGCCAAGTGTGCCACAACCCTTTCGAGTCCCTTAACCACTGTCTCTTCGAATGCACTCATGCGAGAGAAGCATGGACCAGCATTTTCCCCTCCCTTCCGACTCCCCCTCAGGGAACCTCCTTCTTGGATTGGTTCTACTCCCTCAAAGACAACATCCCTCATAACTCTCTTATTCATGTGATCTTCCTGTGTTGGAACATTTGGAAGCCTAGGAACGAGTGCACGTTTAAGAATAGAGCCCCCTGGCCCCCTAACGTGTGTCTACAGGCTTACAGAGAACTGACGGAATGGAATGCGTGCCCGAGGCCCCCACCTCAAGGTTCAGACGGTCCTACTCAGCTCAGGGGAACCCACCCTACTACGAATCCCCCGCCAAGCAATCACTCGATAGTGATTCAATGTGATGGGTCGTTCTTTAGCGACCCCCAGTCGGCGGCATATGGTGTTGTTGCTGTTAACCACCATGGACAAGTGTATGATGGGAGAGCTGATAATCTTCTTTGTTCCACCCCGATTGAAGCGGAAGCAAAGGCTCTCTTAGAACGAATTAAATTAGCTCAAGAATATGGATTGGTTTGCACATTGCAAACTGACTGCCAAATTCTGGTGAAGGCCCTGAAACAAAATCAGCCTCGATGGCCCTGGAGATGTGCTGCTTGGATTCGAACAATGGTCAATATCCTTAGGAACAATCCTTCTATTTCGGTGGAAGAGATTCCGAGGGCATTGAACGGCAGAGCTGATTGGGTTGCACGATCAAAAGCCAGATCTTTTTTGCCAGATGAGTGGATTAATATTCTTGATCTAATTTCTGGTCTCCTTTAAAGAATGTAATAGCCTTATAGCTTGTTTATCTATATTGGTGGAATAAAAGATGGTTGTTATTTGTCAAAAAAAAAAAAAAAAAAAAAATTCTACAAACAAAGTCTTTGACTTGAGAAGTAAAAAAAAAAGTTACAGCGTAGCCTAAGATCAAAGTAACTTCCGTACAGTTACAGCCGAATCAACAGTAAAAGAAATAAACCCCGGTAACAAGTGATAAATGGAATGAACGAAACAGTCAACAATTCGGATGTGGATGGCAACGATGGTTGACGTGTGATCATATTCGACTTCAAACGGTGGTGGTGACGTCAGAGAGCTGGACCTCCGACTTGGGTTCCGCCGGCTTGGAAGCACCACCGTACTTGGTGGAGAAGTAGGCATAAAACACCAGCTGAACCACCGCAAAGATAGCTCCCAGCCCATTGCTCACCTGCAAAGCAATTGATCAATCGATGATTAATTAGCATGTGCTTCGAGTTCTGATTATAAACTAATCAATAATGACAATGGTAATAATCTACCGTAACGTACCACAATGAACCAGTCGATCCCGTGAATGAGAGCGTAGGCCGTCCAGATGCTGCCGTTGGCGAAGTTGGCGACGGAGAGCCAGAGCGGCATGAACTCCACGCTCTTGGTCTTGTAGACCTTGGCCATGACGGCGAGCGGGGAGGCGTACATGATGATGTTGAAGACGTCGGCGACGATCCCCACGGTGATGTTGCGGGAGTGCTGGGTGTGGAAGCCGGCGAGGGCGACGGCGATGATGACGCCGAAGAGCACGACCTCGCCGAGGAGGCCGAGGAAGACCTTCTTGCGGCCCTTGTTGTGGCTGTCGTAGTAGACGAAGATGGAGAGGTAGATGAGCTCGAGGGCGAGGCCGACGGAGTTGATGGTGACGACCAGGACGCTGTTCGGGGTGATGATCGGCGTGCCGTAGAAGATCCACACCAGGCAGTTCATCACGGCGGCGATGTACGGGTACGGCTGGAACTCCTCCACGTCCTTCTTCTTGCATATCCTCCAGAACGTCGGCCTGTGAATCCATCCATCATTTAACGTTTGAATTCGTGATTAACTAATTAATGAATGAATCGGGACAGAGAGATTAAGGGAGAGTAAAAGGAATGATTACGTACACAGGGGAGAGGAAGAGTCCAAAAGAGATGACGTTTCCTGCGCAATTAAGTGGACAGAATAAGACAAACGAGTCCAGATTGAGTCATACATAGATAAACACTCTAATTGACCATATATAGCGACTGAAACGCAGCGTTTCTGTGGAACCGGAGCACCAAAATCGGATCCCGAGTAGCCAAACAGGCGGAGGAAAATCGATCGCGGATTTTCTCGGTAGCCAAACAGATCGATACGAGTAAAAATAAACTAGCAAATTATGCTAATGGCTCGATAGGAGAGGGGAGAAATCAAGTTAACTGATTCTCTAAACAACGTAACAAACGGAATCGCTGCAGGAAACAGTAGGAAAATTAGAGAGGCCGGATTTACAAGAAGCTAGGAACGGCGTTATGATTGGAATGCTCGCCGGCGAATTCAACACACTCGTTTACTACTAATGAGAATACGAAATAGCTGGCTAGTTTTCGCAAGCAAGGAAGGGAATCGCATCAATCAAAGCAACTTCGAAGCAATCGGAAAGAGCAGTACTGAGATAATGATCAATGTAGATAGAGATAAATCGAATCGATCAGCAGAAAATAGCAGGGGTAACTGTTCGGTGGAAGAAGAAAAGAGAAGGAGAACGGAATCGGAGAACGATTGATTAACTTACCGATGATACCGACGACGGTACGAGCAAGCTCTGCGTTCACCATCCTGATCTTCTTCTCCTTCTTTCTTCTTCGCGAGTCTACAAAGGCAAAAGGCGGTGCTAGCTAGCTAGAGAGAAGTAACAATAAATCTGGGATTGTACGGGGGAAGAGCAATATTTCCAGGCAAATATATATATATATATATTGAGTGCGAGAGAGTCCTGGCCTGATTGGAATTTACAGCTGTAAAAATGTGCAAACGTATCCTGGTTTACCGCCCAAGTAACTAATCCACGGTGGATTGGATCAGATTCATCCTCCAAGGCGAGTCGGATTTCTTATTTTCGAAAATTATTTATTGTTTTGTTCCCCGGAAATTAATCTTCCAAGTCAGATAGAACAGAAACTCTGGCTTGCTTTCCCGATTAGTTGAATAATATTTATTAATTTATTAGTTGACCTTGGTGGTCAAGTTTTAATTAGGGCTTCGCTCTCGCTAAGTTTTATCCATTTCCACCTAGATGAAAATAATAAAAAGAGGATTCATGATAATTATGTGCCCATTTTGGTTGTAATCATGCTAATTTTGTTTTACCCAAGGTTCTAAAAGGCGCTAGGCGTAAGGCAGGCGCTCGACTCCTGATTTGCGCCTTGCCCGATTAGGCGTAGCCTAGGTGTGCCTAGGCGTTCAGAGCAAAAATGGATAAATTCTCAAATATTTCCTGTTTTCTGGAATAATTGATAAAATCCAAGTGCATATAAAATTATAAATGCCTAGTTCTTAACAATAAACACTTAACACAACAAATAACAAGCAAATAGTGACCAATCATATGCTAATAGGGGCTTATAGAGGAAAGAAGCTTGTGCTACGTACCGAGGAGAAGGAAGGAGCAACAATTGACGAGTTTCAACTTTATTTCCCACTATAGCAGCGGTGTGAAGGCGAGAAGAGTGATCGATGACTTTCTCTTGCGGCGGCAGAGAGCAGCAAATAGGACGAGAGCTAGGGTGGCAGGCGGTAGCAGATGGGGCGAGAACTAGGGCGGCAGGCGGCAGCAGATGTTACTTCCCGTGTTTCTGATTTTCTAGGGCAAGATGCAAGTTTATGATTTTCTAGGACAAAACAAAGAGTATTGGGTTTAACCGCCTAAGCTCGCCCAGGAACGCCCAGGCACGCCTTCTCTCCACTAGGCGCAAACTAAGCGTTATTCCTACTTACTAAGCGCTACCAGCGCCTTTTACAATGCCTATGGCCAAGTCAAGGCGATCATCCACTGCCTAGCGCCTAGTTGAGCCTAGGCGTGCGCCTAGGCGCGCCTTCTTGAACCCTGGTTTTACCATTTATCGGATTATTATTGTTGTTGTTACGGATTGGAGGAGGAAAGCACAGGTGCGGATATTTTTGAGTGTACGTACCGTGAGCAGAGCAGTGCAGGCGGCGCTGCATGGCGCGACAGCGGAAAACAAGGAAGACGCGGCGTACGGGCTCCTTCCAGTTAGTTACGCCTCACTCCAATTCTGGCCCTGACTTTTCTCTTATTTACGCCTTCCTGCCACTTCGCTATGATATCTTCCATAAACGAATGGGCCGAAGACCTGCGAGGAATTTGTGTTGCTATACCTTTTCTTTACAAGGACATGTTTAGTCGCTCTTCTTCATCCTTTGATTTCTTTGTGAATTTTGACATAAATGGAACGACCTGCTCAATGCCTTGTCCCATTCATCATCTGAATCTATTTGAAATAAAAAACTGAACATTATCGAGATATCCATTTCATTACAATGATCTACTGTTCTGTCAGGTTCCTGTTTCTTTCTGCCAATGGGTTTGTGAGGCAGAGGAATCTAGGTTTGCTACCTTTCTTTACAATGATATATGTGATGTCTTTGTGATCTTAGCAATGAGACCATGAGCGTATCTGCACAGAAGAACTCAGTTGAGCCAACAACTGATTGACCATTCAGAAACTCCTCCATTCCACCTTATATAATTGCTGCTTCATAATGGTTGTTTGATTACAGTGGATCTCTGTTAGCTGGTAATATCATCAGCAGCTTGGCAAGGTCATAAGACTTGAAGTCTCTCCCATATCGTAATGCTATATCCAACGCTGTCATCCCATTCTGAAACCAAAATTGAAAACAAGGAACATTGAGATACTTTACTGTCATAAGTTACTACTCTACTGTACTCGGTAATCGGTATGAACAAATGGGGCAAAGGCTAATAAGTAAACCTTGTTTCTTCTTGTTTTATCCGCGCCATTGACCAGAAGCACTTTCGCTATGTCTCTGTTCCTACCTTGCACTGCAATGTGCAGTGGTGTCCACCCTTCCTGCAACAACCAAGAACAGTTTTTTTTGGTAAATGAACATATCAACCACCTAACACCAATTCAAAAGTCAGGTTACTTACTTCATCTGTGGCGTTGACATCAACTTTGTACTTGATCAACAATTTCACGCTCTGGATGGCACCAACTTCGGCAGCGTAGTGCAGAGGGCTAGCTCCATCCTGGATTAACCAATCACCAACTGAGGTGCCCGAGTTTTTATACGTTGGACTAATAAAAAGCTCCCTGAGACCCTGACCCATTGAAAACCTGTATCCTTAGTTCCTTACCTTGTCTCTAATATGTGGGCTGGCACCTCTTCGGAGGAGATGACTGATTACAGCCTCTTTTTTCCCAATCACAGCCTTATGCAGAGCAGTCCTGCCACCCTGTTATTTAGCCATAGGCATATATATATGTTCAGGGAAGGGACGGGAAAGAAGAAGGTGGTACATTACTTGCCAATTTAATAAACCGTATTACCTTATCTATGCTGTCAATATCGAGTCCATGTTTGACCAGTTTGTCCATGTGTCTTATCTGGCCTGACAGTGCAAGAGTCTGCAGTGGCTTCCACTTTGCCTGATTTGATAGTCACAGGACATGGACAATCAAGAGACTAAGTATTCGGCATAGAAAGAGTGTATAAGTTTTCGAAAACAAAGACCTTGCTCAAAGTTCTGCATAACTTACCGTTGATATTTTTCCAAGATTAGGTGTTTCATTTTCTTGTAAAATCCGTCTTTCTTCTGGTGTTAGAAGCTGTTCAACCTCTGAGACAATCAAAAGAATGCATCTAAACTTCTCAGTACGATTTCGAGATCACAAGAAACAGTACAGGCAATGCAGCAACTACTGCATAAGAAGACCTTTAGAGATGGAAATTCTGTAACAAAATGCAAGCATTACGCCAAAATGGATTGACCCCGAACAGGTCTGTAAGGGACATCGGCTGATCACGCAACGTAAATCTAGCCTAGTAACTACTAGCTCCGCGTCTGTCTATCAGTCTACCATGAATATGATTCAGTTCACACGAGGACAAACTATTTGAAATTGCAGAGACCAGGAATGCTTGCTTCAAACATGAACCCCAAATAATGCTCTAACACCTCACCCTCCTACTTTCATAACCATTTTCACTAAGCTACTCGACACAAAAAGATGCTTGGGGGCTGATAGAAAGAAATCAACACACTGATCACATCATGCTGAACTTCAACTAGTTCATCACTGTGCATCAACAAAATCTGGAGAGGGGAATGTACTCTCTCTCACTGAGATAGCTAGGACATGGGGGAAAATAAAGGCACTACCTTTTGCAAGATCTTCCTCATAGGTCTCTGAAGCAGTAGTATTAGGCATTTGAGCATCACTTCCTCCTCCCCTTGACTCACTCTCATCATCAGTCTCAGTCCCTCCCACTGCTCCATTTTCGTCTTCCCCATCATCATAATCACTCTCACTTCCATCATCAGGGTCTTCCCAAACTCCGCCGTACGTCTCCAACGCCAATGCCTCATTCGACTCAACAACCCGAGTTCTCATTGTAGAAGCACGCCATTTCTGCTCTTGCCGAAACACAAACCTTCCATTTCTAGAAAGTTGATGGAGATTGATCCCTTGACTAAAACTTGGAATACGAGGACAAATAGCCCCATGAAACCCAAGAAGCAGAGAAGTGGAAGCAGTTTCCGCTACTGTCAGCACCATTTTGCAAATATTCTCTCTCGTGGGCTACTGAAATTTCATCATGAAATGCGAATCAATGAGAACCTGGCTGTAGAAATCCATAAATTCCCAACCAAAAGCAAGAAAATTTGGTCAATTTATCTTACTCAGCAAAATAACAATTTCTACAACTAGCACGCCCAAAATCCTTTGCAATTCAACAGAGAAAATTAGTTTCAGGCCAGGGAAATTAGGAAAAGTAAGCTGAAGTAGAGAGAAGCGGCAGAGAGTAGGCCAAGTGGCAGCACCTTCCACAAGATGGGAGACTACGACGATCTTATCGCCGGACGGCGGCTGAAGAAGAGTAAGCGAAATGCCAAATGATGGCGGAGGAAGTTCCAGCGCCGACTGTATACTGACGAAGATGGTGAGCAGAAGGAGCCCGTCGTGGGCCCGATAATTTGGCTGAGTTCGCTTCGGGCCCAATCAAGGCAGGATTGGATATATATAGCGGGTTTCGAAGCCCTTTTATTAGTTGGGCTTATGTGTAAAATGGGCATTGAAAGGATAGAAAATCATTAGATTGATTTTCATTTTTCTTGAGGTTCTTCTTTTTCTTTTAATATTACTTATAGTTAAACTATTCTCTGCTTTGATGGTGGTGATAGAAATATTCCCCACAATTTAATCCTTTTGTGTGGCCACCTGTCCAACACACGAACAGTTTTTTTTACCCATTTTCAACATTTCAATTATAATTGATTTTGTCAAACCAAAAACTTATATATCTTTCCACATAACAATTGTTTCTTACCTGCATAAACTCCGATTAAGATCAGACCACAAAAAATTTAGTCCAAATCTCAATATGGTAAGTTGAATTTATGGTAGTCTTGTATTTTAGGAGGATATGTCAAAATATCGATAAATGTTCGTGATTCTCGATCGATATCGGAATTCTTCTGTTCTTATCATGTCAATTATATTTAAAGTGAAGACAAATGAAAGGTTGAAAATTCATGGGATCCAAATTGATTAATTCAAAATTGAGGTTATGTCCTCAGTGATACATCTAGATTGATGATCCATTAGCATACATGTGGAAGAAGATGATTAGGTTGGGGAAATGGTGGGATGATGATATGCAACAATTTGCATTTTCAAAATTTAGTTGACTAAAGCTAAATCAATTCCTATTTTTATTTATCACTCAAGATAATAATATTACTTAGTGGGATTATATTTATTTTATTTTCTTGCCACTATCATAATTAGAGAAAAAGAGTTGGATTCTCTGGGACGTGGTTCTCCTGTATGAGCAATTTTCTAAAGCAAGAGACAAGGACACATTAGAAGCCACCACATACAGCACACCTGCTGAGTTCTTACTTAAATTAAAATTTAAAATGATAATTTTCTGGATTTTAATTAATAAATCATGTCACTTTTCAAGCCCCGATATTGGCTTAATTCAGTGGCATAATCTGATTGGTGATCAATGATAACCAGGAATAGGTTCTTTATGTATTTTATTAATTATTATAAAGCTTGCAAGCATGGTTACATTCTTTGATTCTTTCATTTCCACTAGATTGACAACACTCATATACTACCCTAAACTAATACATCTGAATATCCATTCCTCATTAATTATGAGCTTCAATGATGAACTTTTTCTTATAGGGCTGACCTTATTTTGGCTAATAGTGGGATATCAATTCCAATTGCAAAATATGAAAGCATAACTATGACAATTCGTCTTGATTCAAAGACATTAGCAACAACAATGATTAGTGATGGATACAAATATTCAAAAAGAGGGGTCAAACAAAGAAGTTTAAGGGATTTAAGTCATATATTAAAAAATGCTATACATATTTTCAACAACAAATTAAAATTTGAGCGGATACGACTTTCGATACCTGTTAGTAGCTCCGTCATACTGGCATCTTCAGTGCCAACATCACTTGATGGATGTTCAAACCAAAAAATTGGGTTACATGGATGCTCCCTAAGCTAATCTATATGAGTTGAGTTTGAGTTCCATGATTTCTACAATTCTATTAGTTTACCTAAATTCTTGACACCTTCAATGGATAGTAAAGTGATTGTGATTATATAGGGGGAATCCTACATTGCAACCGGCTGCGACACTTAGTGTGTTGGCTAATATTATTAGGTTTTATTGGTAACAACAATATATAGACTTTGATTCGAACTCTTTTATATTTGATATTTTCTGATATAAAGGAATTTGTGGATAGGCGGGGGATGATCCAAGTGATTTAATTTGTGATGTGTGTAAAGAGCGGCAAAAGATTTTGATTTACGTGCATTACTTAGTGTTGAAAATTTGAGGATCTTTATACGGTATAGGGTGAGTTGATCCCCTCAATTTGGTCTATTGAACATTGATTTTCTTTCCCAAATTAATATATGATGGGCGTTTATCATAATAGGTTTTTGTTATACACATATTCACTCAAGAGCCTACAACATTGTCTAGACTGTACTTGATAGATTCAACTATTCATTGGTGTTTTCTCCACCATTATAATGTTGAAGCATGGAGAAAGAAGAAAATTAGGGAAGTTACATCATCGAGTAGTGCTTATAAGTGGAAGGAACTATTATATATAGTTCCCATAAACAAAACTTTCAACTGCAACTCATCACCATCAATAATCTGGGGACGATTGCATCACATTATATTAACAACAGTACATATAGTAGCTCACCCACAATATTCCTTTTCTTTTCTTTACCACTATCATTCCTAAATAAAATTAAAAAAAATGTTGGGGGAAAACCAACTCCAAAATATTTCAAACCCCACCATGTGAATTGTGATTCATGGATTGCCAACACAACTCCAACTTCCATTGGATGCCCCTATGGCCCTATCTTCTAATATTCTTCATGTTCTTGTGTTTTCTCTATCTATAAAATTTTAGTTGACATAAGGATAGAATGCTCAAACGTAGATATGCATCGACATAAACCGAATTTATGATATACTCATATAAAATCAATTTCTTCGCATTTTATAACTGTCTAATTAGTTCCAAAGAGAAATTCCCATAATTGCCAAACGAATCTCATAAGGTCGAAATCACGCTAAGCTAGTGTTATCGAATTACCCTTGAGATGTCAACCTTCTATCATGCACGATTGTCTTAATTTATAAAGTTACAATGCTTGTTTACAGACAGTTAATACCATATGAAGTAGGGGTGTGCAACGATCCGGTTTAGGCCAGAATGAACCAAATTTTGGAGAACAGCGGTCCAATAGGAAGAGACATCTATGGACCAAGGGCCGAACCAACAGTGCATTCGATCTGCTTTGATCCAGTCCAAATTTTCACTTTGATAATTTTTCTTCAAGTATTTATCAAATTCAAGAGACAAAGGACCGAACCATATTATACTCGATACGGTGCGGTACGGTACAAGGGTCGGTATGATTTCATAGAGTTAGTTTAACCTAGTACCATTCCTTATTCACTTAACAAAATTCTTTGAAAAAGGCGCAATATAAACAACTTAGGCGTTTGAAGATCACCTATTTTCAAATGCATTTGAAATGCTATATCTCATGCCTAAAAATGATCTATCCTATTCCACACTGTTGAAAACAAAGAGTTGGGGTAAATTTATCGTATCAAAAGAGGGGGAATTGAGATTTTAACTTTTATCAAGGTTGTTAGAAATAGAAGAAAAATCGACCCGTTTAGGATCCGACAATGCCCCAACCGGGAAGGATGGGAGCTCATTTAACACTCTGGCGCAACGACCTCGCCCGCCTCCAATCCAGCCAATCCTATCTCTTCCCTCCAAATCCAACGGCTCCGATCACTCTACGCCCACATTCACCCACCGCTCACGTTAGTCAACACCAGGGCTCAACTCTCCACCACCGACTCAAATCCCCAAAACACCCCCCGATTCTAGTGGAACAAAGGCCATCCGCGAAGGTTACTCACGTCATTTCGTCTCTACTCCGACCACTATATAATCCATAGACGATTCTTCGCTCCGAACCTTACTCTAGTTACTGAAATCGCCACCCGCAAGAACAGAGACACAACACTGTCAATTTCCTTCCACCGCCACCGCCGCCGGAATTCGATATCCTCCGGTGACGTGCTGGTTCTCATCGTTGACTTTTTATCCCCCCCCCCCCCCCCTTCCTATTCTGATAGCCATGGTGGTTTGGTGGCTTCGTGAGTGTTGACCAGCTCTTTCTCTCTTTCTGTTTGGTTTCTTCTCCATTTTCTGTTTGTGCTATTTTTCTCTGTTTCCCCCCTTTCTCTTTGGGGCTAGTCAGAGTCGCCGTACTGGGGGGTTACCGGCGGTGGGAAGCGATGGGGTTCTGCATCTGTCCACTGGAGACACCGGCGAGGCTACTCTGGAGTACCAGCTTCTTCCGCCACAAGCTCAGGCTCTTCTAATCCTTAACCCCTTCCTTCTCACACGCCAGATTTCCTTTCCACCCTTCCATAAATATATTATTATTATACCGAAATTCCCCCGTCGCCGGTAGGTTTTTCCTGAGAGAAAAGCCGATCGTATATGCTACTGGTTACTACTGATTACTAGAAGAGAAATTCGACGAAGCAGCAAAAAGTTGGAGAAGAAGCATGGATCACCAATCGGGCCATCTCTTCTTCGATCCTTCCGCTTGCCATGGGAACATGCTGTTCCTCGGAAGCGGCGGCGACTCTGTTTTCCGAGGTAAATGGAACGGAGTCATCACTTTCGATTTTCTCATTTCCCCCTTTTCTGCAAGTAAGTTTTCGTTTGGTTGATAGGAAAATGAAGGTAGATGTGAATCAAATCAGTAGAGTACAGTCGCCAAGCTCTGGCTGTTGCAATTAACTAGAGTTGACTTTTGCTTCCAATCTATTGAACTTTCTCCTTGAAACACTCTGTTTGTTGATGACTTTGAGATTATGACTTGTTATTTGGAATTGAAACTTGGATCTCAAGTAACTCGAACTGATCCATACAAACAATCTACAGTTTTAATTCTTAACGAAGAGCCTATTGTTCTTGTGCTGCAGGTCAAAGAACCATGTTGAGCATGGAGGACAACTCAAAGAGGAGACCGTTCTTCAGCTCGCCGGGGGACTTCTATGACGAGGAATACTACGACGAGCAGTCGCCGGAGAAGAAGCGCCGCCTCTCAGCAGAGCAGGTAACTCATACCAATGACCTATAGACACGACTAGTGGGCTTAGTATTTGAATATTTGCTTCTTTACGTTCCAAAAGGCTATATATTATTATATTCCTCATGTGAAGAATTGGCATATACCCAAATTCCCAACCCTTATCAAGTATCAAATTCCTCTTTGCCATGACTCAGCCAGAGACTGATATACTGAATACAAGAGGCATTTGAGAGCCATGGCATCTGAATTTGCCATTTTCAGGCTACTCTTCTGTGGGTTTTAGTTTCCTAGAAGAACTGCCTGAGAGATAAGGGTCTTTTAATCGATCGAAGCACCAACTTTCTTCATCTGGTTGAGCTCTTCTGAACTGAAATGTGTCTCTAATGGTAGAACAGAATAGCTAGCTGTTTTCCCCTGTCTGTATACTACTCTTATTGAGCAAGGGTTGGTTTGCTTGGGTGTCAATGAAGGTGCATCTACTAGAGAAGAGCTTTGAGACAGAGAACAAGCTGGAGCCGGAGAGGAAGACAGAGCTGGCCAAGAAGCTAGGGCTGCAGCCCAGGCAGGTGGCCGTGTGGTTCCAGAACCGACGAGCCCGTTGGAAGACAAAGCAGCTGGAGAGGGACTACGACGTCCTCAAGGCTTCCTACGATTCCCTTCGGTCCAACTACGACTCTGTCGTCAAGGAGAACGAGAAGCTCAAATCTGAGGTAAAAACTAAAAAGCCACCACAAATCTGGACTTTCCTAAATTTCTGCTCGCTTTTCTTTAGTGAGGAAAGTGCATCATCAATCTTTGTTTTTCACAACTGGCATCCAATCCTACGCTAAGATGGACTAATCTATCAGAGCAAAGCAGTTAGCTTTTCTCTATTTCCTTTTGGTTAAAAAGAAACGGTGGTGGTAGCAGTATAATTCTCCACTCTCCACTAAAGAGTTAGTCGTAGGAAAAGCTTAAAGAGAAGATTATGAGAGTCATGGGTTCCTGCCAGCTGATCTTGCTCTTTCCCAGATGATGTGATTGATTGCTTTAGGGAACTGTATTTGTTTTTTGCTCCCATCCATATTCCTTTTTTTATGATGGACATGTATGTAGCTTTGGGGGGTGGATTTGGACCTGTGGGGATTCTATATAGAGTAGTGGGTCTCTCCTATATATCCCTATCAGATTCCACACTTCTATATCACTATTGAAAAAACTATACACACATGTGGCATCTGCTTCTGCAAAACCCCACAACTACTTCTCCACCACCACCTTTTTGGTTTTAAAAAATGGTTCAAGAAAAGGCTACCTCTTTTGCTTCTAATTTCTTCCCTAGTAAGAAAAGAAGGCACTAAAAGTAGGAATATACCTTGGCCATGGTGAGAGCCTAGCCTACCCAGATTATGCTTTCCCTAGTAAAGATATTGGCTTGTCACGTTGCAGGTGGTTTCTTTGACCGAGAAAGTGGACACCAAAGAGACGACGACTGAAGTGGTGCCAATCTCGGGGGAGAACCTCGTGCCTCCAGCGGAAGCAGCCAGCCAATCGGTCAATGTGAAGGCGGTGGAGGATCGGCTGAGCACAGGGAGCGTTGGGAGCGCTGTGGTCGATGACGACAGTCCCCAGCTTGTGGACAGTGGAGATTCCTATTTCCCTACCGAGTCTGACTACCCTGCCACGGCTGCCATTGTTCCAGGGGAAGCCATGCAGTCGGAGGAGGATGATGGGAGCGACAGCGGACAAGGTTACTACACCCACGTTTTCGCCGAGCAGCACGAGGAGGAAGGAGAGGCTCTGGGATGGTGGGTGTGGTCCTAAACAGATGCAACCCTACCCATCTTGGTTGAGAAGTGTTGTGCCTTGCCTATGACGCATATGTATTACAGTGTATTTGTGCCTATAATATCTGGCGTAGTTTGTGTTGTAACGTTATGGAGATGAGGAGAGAGACACAATATGGGATATGTTTCTGAGTCTGGAAATAGCTGATCTCCTCAAGAAAGACTTCTAGGGGGTACTAAAGGACGATGAATAAAACGGTTTAAACAGTTGTATTTAGTCATCTGGATTATTATGCTACTACTTCTGTGCAGCAACTTTGGTATTAATGCTTAAGCTATATAGTAAATACTTATGTTTATGAGGACGATAACCCTAGTGTAGAACTGCAAGGCTTCTCAATCTTCGACTAGGTCGTTCAGAATTCATGCCTACTAGTCCTACTTGCTAAATACAAGTCAGACTGGAAGCTATGGGTAAGGGGTGTCAATTCTGGTTCGGATTTTCGATTTTAACCAAAATCGTACCGGTGAGAAGCATTATCGGTTTTCCAGTTTCAGTTTGTTTCGGTTTTTCTTATTTTGCTTTAACCGAACCTGAAACCGATAAGATAATTTTCATCTTCGGTTAACCGAAAAAGAAAACCTTCTTATAGATGTCGGGTTCGGGTTTCAAAGGATAATGGGTTCGGGTTTTGGTTCAGTTACCTGAACCCGACCCCAACCGACACCCCTAAATTAGGTGCCTTATCTAAAGCTAAACATAACTTGCAAGCTTAGATGAAGTCATTTAAATATTGCCGACCGGGAAAGTATAATACAGAAGAAAATGTCGATGAAGTCATCTAATCTGAACTTGGCAAGTTAGATTAGAAGTCTCACACAGACATTTCAACTTCAAGCTCAAAATATTTAACACAAATAATGTACATATAATTAAAAGCATTATCAAATTCACTCGTAGACAAAATATTCACATCTTCTATGATAATAAAAAAGGTCACATCTGGAGCTGGGAAAACTGTTTAACAAATGAGCTGATTTTGAGGCAAACAATTGCTTATGACACAGCTAACAAGGCACCACTGCCACTTCAACCACCACAAGCCTCAATTTCACCCTAATTTTCATTTCTTTGTTTCAAATTGAGGGGGGAAACCGAATCATACTGTAATAATGTCTAGTTTCAAAGTCGAAAGGAAACACAATCAAATGCACGTAGCAAAGATTCGATTGGGACGAAGCTATTAGATGGACATTGATTCAAATCAGACAAGTATAGTACATGACTTCCATGAAGAAGTCCAACCCTAAACTCTAAGTCACTAACTAAATCCGTCTCCCAGCTTCCAGCTCATTCTTTCCTTCGGTAATAATCGGCAGACTACAAATCCCAGAGTTACATAGATTACACAATGAGCAACGGAACCCCAAGTGCCGAAAAGCTCACTATAACAAAACTGGCTCGCTAAACAACTACATACCAGTCACCTTAAAGAGACTGAACCTCAGTGTAAACACTAACCAGTATTTGCCCCAAAATAGCCACACTTCGTTCAAAGGGAAAGTAGAGGGGACGCAGGGAAGGAAGGAGGATGCCTGACGCACAGAAACTTCGGAACGTGAGGAAAAATTACCTGTTGTGAGGAGGTTTGAAAACCTAGCTCCAGCAACTTCTAGAATTGTTCGTCGGCACCTCCAGATGAGGATTCCGGGAGATAAGTAGCAGTCCCTACAGCGTATCATACTCCAGGCCTCAGTGAATGACATTTCTGTTGGAAAGTAGTGCAAGTAAATTAGACTTCTTTGATCAGCAAGCCACCAGAGAACTTGTAAGGGCAGAAGCAAATATAGCATCAGGTAGGGAAAGCAAGGATCAGCAACTATCACTCGATACAACTAAAAAAATGGAATGAAGGTACAAAGAATCAAATATTTCTAGTAATTTTCTTTACCTTTTTCGACATGATTTCCCCATTACATGGATTTTCTTCCATCTACCAAACTCATCTCATTTTCTCACGCACCAAAATTATTTTCTGCAGCAGCAATCACCACGGCGCTGGTCCTGCTCCTTTTTGTACAAGACTACTCTGATTTGCATGAACCAGAGCATTTTTTTGACTCGTCAATCCATCATTTGAGTTAGCGTGTCAGCATATTTTTATATACACTAATATGAAGCACCCAAGGCAGCAGCTCCATCAAAATGCGTTGAGGTTGAGCCGTTGAGATGAACAGGTACGCACCAGATAAAATCCCTCGTGCTTCATTCTGATTGTCCCCTAAGGTTGAGTCTAAACCTAGGTTCTCATTATTTAGAAATGACAACCATCCATTAACCTTCTGGTTCCTTCCTTTTCTTGTTATTAGACTTCCTCCCTGTCTTGCTTTTGTCAGGTGAATCCAGATGCGCTGTTTTCTCTTCAGATATACTGATGGGCTTCAACTTCTCTGGAGAATCCGAATTGGACAGAACTTTCTCATAAAAAATGGCAGAATCAAGGGAAAATATCCGCAGAGCCAGGGAAGAAATGGTGGAAGTTTTGGCAGCAGCAGAGAGAGACGACCAATACCACCACTCATTACGTAAGTAATCTCTTTTAATCATGTCCTCCAATACTACTGTCGCTTGGATCATCTGAAAAATAGAAAGGGAGATTTTTTAGGGCCTATGACGAACTTTAGAAACAGGAAGAAATCACCAATTCTGTGAACATTCCGGTTCGGTTTTCGTCATTAACAGCACATATAGGTGCAATAGAAAAGTCAAAGGTATCACTTTTTAAGGGAGAGTCAAATGCAGTAATTAATGAATGTCAACACCCAAATGGAAACAATGTCGGAAGACCAACCTCATAAATTGAATTGGACGATTTAACAAAGGCACGCCAGGCCCAACTTCTTTCTATTCCTGACTTTGAAGCCCTCAAGGCTTCTCCAGGTAGCGCAGCCTCCATGTCTAGCAAATTTATCTTCAGCTGCCTCATAATAGGTGCAGAAATTTTGTCTAGTAATGGCCTTTGAGCAGAAGAAGGAATTATACAATGATTCAAATGCCTGGTTTCAGAACTCCGTCTATCAAAGTGAGACTTAAGATCCCGCCTTTCTGGACCTCCAGGAAAAGACTTTTTAGTCCTTGCAAGCTCATTTGTTTCATCAGCAACTGATTTCCCAGAAACTTTATCAGAAACTGGTTGATCAACCTGGCTCCTATCAAGATTCGACTTACCACCTCCACCTCCATCTTTCATTGCAGAAATCAACAATACAGTGGAATCACTGACACAAGGAGAAACAGACGTAACAAAAGACGGTACACCATTCGAACTAAGCAGACCTATACTCTGCACCAACTCCATGAGAGAATCTTTTGTAACAAATCTAGAGCTGATATCTTCAAAGTTGTAGGGACATGGTATCACTTCACTTTGAAATTTATCCAGCCTAGATCTGGGATCAGATCTGCTTTTAGAAGATTCAGCAATTTTGCCCGTGCAGTTATTGTTAACTGCCTCTGAAGCCATCTCGCCCATGAGCTTAATAGAATGATTACTCTCTTCACATTTCTGAGTTTGACAGCAAGTGCCATCACCATGGCCCTTCAATTCAGCATCATCAATGAAAGTTCGGTGGCAAGTGAAACAATGGAGTCTAGACTGCCAAACTGGCTCCAAACACTCGCACCTGTACATCTTATCTCCATCAGTCATTCTTTTCTTTTCCAACAACTTATTTGACACGTGACCAGACTCTAACTGAGCGAACTTGCCATATTTCTTCTCCATAAACATAGCAGCTTTTGTAGTGACACAATCTCTAGATAAATCTTTCTCCTTGTTTAGATCCACTGGTGGTGCTGGTTGGTGCTCAGCCTCAACTGAATAACAAATTTGGCGATTTTCAAGAGATCTCAGCTTTAGCAGTTGCAGAAGAGACTCTTTCAGTTCTCTCTGTTTTAGATCATTATCCAAGCAACAAATGAGTTCTTTAATTTCTGAATCAGATTCATAAGCAATCCAGTAGGGATGCACCTCAGCATTGTCCTTAAGTCTTCCAGAAGGTAAGCGAGAGTTAATGGTCCCCAACTTGCTGCTTACTGGGTCTCTATAACCTGATATTTCTCTTTGCTGCAGTGTCAAGGTTCCATCTACAACAACACACGGATTCTTTCCTGGCACAGCTGAAGCCCAGTACAAGCGACCCAAAGAGTCACTTCCCAAATACTCTCTCCGGGTAGACAACCTAAACAGCTGCAATTCTATGCTCATAATGGAGTTCTTCAACATAAGAATGTCATTCTTGAGGGAACTTAGCTCGGTATCATAGTTTTGTGGCTCATTCATATTATCAGTGGTCAAGTGTCCATGTGAATTCGAGGATTCACTTTTAATGATAGCATCACCAACCTGTGCCAAATGATTTTCTGACGGGGACTGATCGCGTGCAGAAAAATTACCATTCTCTTGATAGCTTCTATTCTTACCATCCATCAACACTTGCTGTTCTTTACCTTGGCTACACACAGCTTGTTCATTGCCACCATGAAAGATTCGAGAATCCATAGAGCTCTCACTACAGCCATTTATCCCAGTTCGTTCTCCGCAGCCCTTCATTGTCAATACTTCATTTGATAAAGGACTACAAAGTGTAGGTGGATCACTTGAACTAACTGGCTGTACCACATGACTACATGAAGTCATAAGTGCAGAAGTTACACCTTCCTTCACATATCTTTCACCAATGAAACAAGAATCCTTTTTCACAGCTCTTAGAGCCATGAATTCTTCCTTGGACTTCAGATTTTTCCATTCAGCCACAAATGATCGGAGTTTCTGTTGTAACTCTGCTGATGTTTCCATACACTGCTCCAGATGTTGACGGATCAGAGCTGTGCCAAGCAACTCATCACACAAGAACTTGAGCAAGAAGATCCTCTGCATTCAGGGATGGAAGAACTTAGACAAATGATCAGAACTAAAGGACAAACCAACTAGTTTCCCTCCTAAATAACATTATAATGAGAGCCGGGCAGAACTGAATATCACATACTAAAGCTTTTTGATACAATACCACCTTATTTATTATGATCACAATGAGCAATGTTCAAGGCAGAAAAAAGAGCAATTTGCAGTCCCTAGACTATACCATTGATATGCATCGACACAGTAAAGAAGTTTAGAAGGTAAAAAGTACAGGCCGTATATTAAAGAATTAAAGCAACTACATGAGAGATAGAATTAAATAATAGGCCTCACAAAATCACGGGACAAGTTCACCAGTTTCAACATTTGAAAGCACAGGATGAAAAATAGCATATAGATTGAGAGACAAACCTCATCCACAGTGAACTCCCAATACTCTTTTCCTCCTAATACAACAGATAAACGTCCAAGTTTCTCCAAGTAAGCACTGGTCACCTCGCCCTGGTACTTCTTGCGTAGACTTCTGCCAGCAACATGACTGGTTTGTGATGCCTGCTGAATGCCACAAACACCACTGACACAAGATGGGCAATACCAGTTTCCCTCCGGGATCCTGGCTAGAGGCGGACTCAAGCAATAGGTATGATACTCCGCGTCACAAGTATCACATAATAGGACACTGTCATCATCTTTATCCACACCACAGACTTTGCAGACACCTTCATCCCAGGGCGCTTTTGGAATATCTTTAACAGAGGCAAGGACATCCTCCAAATCCTTTTTAGTTTCTTCACTTAAGTGATCCATTTTAGCATACGCCTCCAACTTCTCAACAAGGTTGACAACCTAGCATCAATTAAGTATTAAGCAACGCCTTAAAATACATTAGTAAAATAAGCAGAGGATGATTGGATTGTTACCTCTTAACTATCTGAAAAACAAAAAGCAATGTACAAATCCCTAGCTCAATTATGTGTTAAGCAACTCACCCCAACCCAATATATAAGTTGTGCATGAAAAACCAGCAAAACAAACATTGGAAAATATCCCCCATAGGTTCAAATATATAAGGTGTAAAAGCAAGACAACATAAATATGTAGCCAATGCTATCGTCAGAGCCATTTCCATCAAATATGCAGATCAATAAGTCGGACAAACTGTATGACAGTGCTTATTCAGTCGCTAACTTCTACTCACTGTCGGAACAATTTTCAGTTATGCTATACAGAATCAAAGTGGAGAAGCTCTTACCTCTTTCTCATACAAAGATTCAAAATTGCAGGACAGCGTCTGAGCCAACTCACACAGGTCAGACTGATCATGAAAGACAGCCTGCACATTGTCCCACAACTGCAATAGAAAGGCAACATGAGGCCCATACCTCAGCAACAACCATTCAATCTATAGTAGAAAATCCTTGTAGAATGAATAACATGTATAGACAGATTATTTCTATATTTTGATTTTTACATATATCTTTGAATTGCAGCTTTCTAGGCCATCAGTGTTGCCCATCTATGTTCAAATTGAATCAGCAGATAGGTCCTTCTTAGTACTGCAAGTCATTATATTAACCAATTGCCAACTGTATCGCCATAAATAACGAAGACTTAATTTTCCCATTATAGATGCCCATAGGTTCTATTGTTTAAACATACATGGTTTATGTGATCATACCCCACTAAGCCCATGCGAAAACATGAAAATGTCTAGTTAAACAAAAACATCAGTACGTACTGCTTCAGACAATGGAACACAACGTCCAGAAACAAGCCCGGAGGCTGTCAAGACATCTAAACAACAGAGCATACATTATACTCATTGCAGTGGGCAAGACGCAAAAAGAGTGAACACTAGACACATTCTGCTTAAGCAAATATGTGCAAGATAACAAACCTCTCGAACATCTTCAAGAAAGGATTCATGGCAAGTCCCATAAGCTCCAAGTGCTAATCTCAAATCAATAGTCCGAAAATCAAGAGGACGAGAAACCATGGCTGGAGATCCAAGGAGTCCTTCGTCATCATTATCATTTGAATTTAGTAGATTTCTTCCCAGCAAGGTACAGAAAACTTTTCCATCATCATCGGCAGCAGTCCGACGTAAGACAATCCGACATTGCTTCATTATAACGTCGGATATCGCGATAGCCATCTTCCTCTTATTTCTTTTTTCAGAATTCTGCATTGCTATCTCATTCTGTACATCTGCCAGCACGGCAAGTACTGCTTTCTGCACTTGAACAATGAGTGGACTGAGAACAGGATATGAATCACCCATGCTAGTAAAAGTCCAGTTCAATGTATGTGTACTGCAAAAAGCAGAACATTCTGATGACAGGTGGTTGGAAAGTAGATCAGAGAATCGTACTCCAGCATGGGCGAGGGACCCATCACCTAAATAAATGACTAACCCAGTAATACTTAGAAGGTGCTATGGTATGATGAGATCAATCAATGAGGCATGTTTAAATTCTGAATTTACGTCGGGAACAAACAAACTCTATTTAGGTGTCAAAACCGAGATAACATAGACACATAAAGCATGCTACGAAAATGGAAGAAAAGCAAGAAGGACCAGCCCCTCGCTTACCAAGAATTCCAGAAAGCTATAACTGTATCACTACATTGTTTCAAGCAAGAAGTGGAAGTTAATCTCCAAAAATTGTGCACAAAATGGCTAAATTATTGGAACAAGTACAGCTTCTTTTTCTGTTTCATAGTTGGGAGGATATGAGATCAAACCCTTGACCCCTTTGACAGGAGGTGACTACCCAACCGGTACACTACTCAAGGGATAAAGAGAGAGTAGTATTGCATCTCCCAACCAGCAGCTTAAGTCTTAAATTATAGCAGGCACGGGCATGGATAAATGTCAATCGTTATGGACTAGAATCATTATATTATCCACAACATTAGCCAGGTATCAAATTTTGTTCTCAGCCTAATTTGTAAATAAAACTCCAAAAGAGAGCAAATAAAATTTCTACCTTTGTTGGTCCTGATGCATTTCCCTTATACACTTCTTTACTTATCGAATGTTCCAATCTTGTCTTTGCCCAATCTGGTGGGCATTTTTCAAGAGCATCATAAACACATTTCCTGATTCTGGTACCAACATTGGTTGGCAGTTTTCGAACAGGCTCCAGCACCTGAGCCCACTCAGGCATGGTCACATCACATGGATCACTCTTTTCACTAGTTCCACTTGCATCTGCAACTTCACCTTCAATGGTAATAACATCCATGTCACAACTTAAGGATCCGTAAATTTTCTTCCTAGCCTCTGCAAGTAACTGGAGATCAACTTTAAAGCATTAGTCTCAGTTTCAAGAATCCTTAAAACTTGCAACAATATCTGTGAAGTGAGGGTAAATTGCATGCGCACAATAAGTGTGAAAACACAAATGATTCCCACCAAGCCATGAAGAAAAAAAATAAGTTGTCCACACTAAAACATATTCCTAACATGTCAAACAAAAAGCTCCTGAAACAACTTCGCATGAAATTACAATAAAGAACGAATGAGCAAGAAAGAATCTTACATGTGCATCTGATTCCATGCCTGCAACCCCAGTAAGTGCACCACACAGCACCCCGCCATCCCCTTGCAAGCAGCGAAATACTTTGCCACTTTCACGAGCAGTAATCTCAGCAGATTCAAGGTTACCGTCCATGGACAAGACTGCCAAGACAAATCTCCGGGATAATTCTGGCCATGTCAATTCATTGATAGGAAGCATACTAAGCTTACTTCTTCTGGCAGAAATTGCATTATCTGAGTCTCTCCGTTTGCCCCTTTTTGATTTTACGTCCCCAGAATCTAAAGTTGGATCTACAAGTGCAGCAACTCTGGACTGTAACTCATATATCAGAACAGCTAAGAGTGCACTATGAGCCCTAGTCAAAGATGCTCCCATGCATCCAAAGGGATTAACAGAGGCGAGTTCAGTTTGGGCAGCATCAGTAGCAATTTCCGCCTCCACTGGTATAAAAGCATGCGGATCATCTTCATGGACTGCCGTATTTTCCACTCTTGAAGACTGGAGTAGGCTATCCATTTTATCAAGTCCTAAAATATCGGGGGCATGACTTCCACTAACATTCTTGGTAAGGGTACACCCATCAATTGAGCAACCAGACCATGGGTTGATAATTTCCTCTTCAAGTTCCCCCAACGTAAGGGGATCTTTTAAGTCCAAAATATCATGGAAACGACACAGCAACTCCCACACCTACATAAGGATGAACACAAGTACTAAAGCTAGAGGTAATTGAAAATTTTCTGTTACACAATACATACAAATCTAAAAAAACTACTGTGATGAGGCTAACGAATCGGAAAAAAACTAATGTGATGGTCACAGACCATGCAAGTGCTTTACCTGATAAAGATCACCAACAAGGACGGAAGAAGGAAGCTTGGGGCACAACAGCCTTCCTGGAGGATAATCCATAACACTGTCTTCAATCAGCCTTGCTTTCTTAGATCTTCGAAATAAGTCATCTAATTGAACACCAGATTTCCTTTTAGCTGTTACGAGTCCATTTTCTAGTGTTAAGGTTCTAGTATGTTTCCTTCTATGATTCAGAGACTCATATCTGAAACAAATTTCAACACCAGGAAGCTCTTCTAACATCTCTTGGACAAAATCTACATCCAATCCAAATCTATCCTCATCAAGCCATTTTGACAGTGAAGCTGCCAATAAGCCCACCTCGCCCTCGTATACCAAAGGAATGCCAAGATAGTTAGGGGAACTGCAGAATTTGGTCAGCATAGCAAAATTAGTTCCTAACTTCCCATCCCTCCGAGTCCAGATTGGTTCTCCAGCAACAATATCAGCATGGCAGCAGGACAGCCTAACCTTGCCTTCACGCTTAAAAATTTCAGAATAAGCATCAACTAATTTCTGTGCTAACTTTCTCCAAGCCAACGATGGTGACTGCTCTTCCACCAAGATCTCGCCAATATAATCTCCGTCCAGCTTATCCGATGAAAGCACCCCACACAAGCCAGATACTGCACTATTTTGCAAGCTCTCCGATGTCTTTGTAATACATTCATTTGATACACATTTGAGACAATTCACAATGTCATCTTCACTAGGGGGAGAATGCTCCATAAGAAGCATATCAACACTTTCACCATTTTCTGGATCTCCATCACATATCTCACTACAACTCTCTTCATTGTTTTGCACGGCAAACTCGTCAATAACCAAAACAGTTGAAACCTCAGGAATGCGATAAACAGAGCATGAAAACCTCTTGATTCTGAAGACAGGTCCTAAATCACCACCATCTTCCACTTCCTGTACAAACATTGATCCAGTAACCTTATCATGCCAACATGATCTATAACCTACTGGCCAAATGTGTCCTACATCATGATACAATGGTCTGGCATCAATTTTTCCCAAAGAAATAACAAAGAGATCTTCAAACTGAACTGGGAATCCATCCTGCAACATAAAGTGAAACGTGAAAAACATACATTCTGTATAAGGAACAAGCGAAATGGTAGTATTCCAGTAATAATTCAAAGGGAATAATTATCTAATCATCATTGTCACTGATCGAAGAAAAAAATTCACACTTACACTAGATGGCTCAGCACCCCCGGTACCGTTATCATCAGTTTTAACTTCCCTGTCTTTCCCCAACTTTCCATCAGAAATCCCTCCACTTACAATATTTGACAGGAAATGCTTATGATAGCCGTTTTCCAAAACTTCCTTACTTTTCTTGTATTTTCTCCTCTTATATGCATGTGGCTTTTCTGGCAGCTGAGAGCAAGAACCGTCACTTCTATCAATATCCATTGCATGACTAACAGGATTCAATCCAAGATGTACAGCAACCTCTGACATTGTACCAAAAGTTTCCCCATCTGGAGAACAATAAACCACATACAGTTCATAACTACTTGTAGAATGTTTCAATTCTGCACGCCAACCTTCCGCCAGCACACCATGCCTTTCAGAAACAAATTCTCTAAGACCCTGAAGAAAAAGCTCATTTGGATTCCTAGATGGCAATCTGATACTTGTGTTATCGCCACTCCTACACTTTCCTATAGGAAATCCCCAGTTTACTTCCTCTAAACCTCTATCTGCATCGTGATGCAATATATCCCTGAACCCCATTCTGAATGCATGCATCATCCTTCCTGAACCTTTTCTCAGCCCAAATCCATTCCCCGCATATATAAGATTTGAATATGTCACTGGGGCACCAAATGCATTTCCATCAGAAGAATTATCACCAGGAGTGCACTTCCTAGCACGCGTGAATATAATCAGTAACTTTTATGCGATGATTGCACGTTCAATTTGTTAGACCAATGGACCATAAACAGAAAGAAGGCAAGGCATTGAAACGGAAGTTTAAAGATATATAGAAAATTGTTAAGACTTGCATAATGGAATCAAAGAGGTCTTAGAGGCTCACTCCATAGGTATCAGTTTAACAACTTCTCATGGCACTAGCCTACTTATATTAATGGATTCAAAAAGCTCGAGAATCACGCTAAGGTATACCATCAACCATCTCGCGGCAATCCTACAAACATGCATTGGCTCTAAAATAACATTTATTCTGAATTCAATCCAAAATTTCACTACTAATCATATCCTACAGAAACTTTCCCCATGCAAGTTCTCCATGAAAGGAACACAGAGAGAGAGAGAGAGCTTCAACGACCTAAGAGAAAGAATGCAACTCCGGTGAAGGTTCAGAAAATGGAAAAAAAAGAGTCTCGTTTACCTCAAATGGAGAAGCCTTTCGTCCTCAGCAGGCTCCCCATCCCCGTCCGCATCCCTAGGAGGGGAAGCATTGATGTCCAAAATCATCCTCTTATTATTCTTAAACCCCAACGGCCACCCCTTGCTCTTCACCCCGCCGCCGAGGCACTCAGCGCACAGCCACTCGGACGAGCCAGCTGCGTCCAAGCCGCCGCCGCCGCGCATTTCGAGGCATGCCAGGTGGAAGCCACGCTCGCAGCCGTCGCAGACGACGACGTGGCCCTGCGCCTCGGGGCCGCCGCAGGTGCCGCACGCCCCTTCCCGCGGCAGACCGGCCACGAGGCCCGGGGCTGGGTCGGGATGGTCGTGGAAAGAGCGAACGAGGTCGACTGGCGCGACGAGGTCGTCGTAGGGCTCGGATTGCTCCGCCTCGAGACCGAGCGGCAGCGGCGGAGAAGAGGAGGACGAAGTAGGGATCTCATTGAGATCGATCGGGAGGGGAGAGCGCAGAGTTGCGGCGGTGGCCGCAATCGCGGTTGAATCGTTGAGCTCCATTCAGCCGAGTTGGTGTAACATTGTTCGTTCGTCGGGGAACTTTCTCTCTTTCGATCGATTCGCGAAGAGAGAGAAAATAGAAAGATCGGGAGTCAGTGGTTGGGTTGGGGAAGGTGTGGGCGTTCAGATTCGGATTTTGGGTTTTTGGTTATTTTGTTATTTAGGGTTACGGGTCGGGCTTCTGAGAGCGTATCTAGTGGACCGAGCTCAGGGGGGAAACTGCTTGGGGTTGGATTGGATCGAGCTGTCGGTGTACGACTCACTGAGCTCTTTCTGGGTTTCTAGGGTTTCAGATCCTTCTTCTCTGGGCAATTCCTTATCTTACCTCATCAAGGTTCGTTTTTCTTTTTTACCGTTCTGAAGTGGTTGACCAGGCGAAAGTATCCCCTAAATTCTCAGGAAAAATGACAAATGAACTCCTCTATAATTTGTTTTACATAGGTAAGTCCACCTAATACGGTTTAGTAATAATGAGGCATTTTTGTACTAATTATCTTCGTGGGCGAGAATTGTTTGGTTATATTCTTTCCAATCTCTATGAATTTGTTTGCCTATTTTTTGACGGGGCTCTTAATTGTAGTAGTTGATGACAATATTGTCTAGTAAGTGCATTATGTCATGTATATTCTATAACACTTTTAATGTGAACTCAAATTATGTAGCATTTGTTTTGCGTCGTCGACCAGAATTATTACAATGATTTGATAAAAAATATGCGAGATCAGCTTCAATATTTAGTTTATTTTTTCTAATTTGTCAATTTACTCATTTTGCATAAACATAAAACAATAACAAATATTACAAAAAAACAAACAAACTTCTTACAAACAAGTATTTAAACTCAATTGTATCACCTTAAATTCACTCCCGTGCTTCAATACCAATGAACTGCAAATTCGCTGAATTTGTCCTACTTGAGAATCCAAATTGTTTTCTCATTTAACCCTAAAAAAATATGTTCTCGTTCGTTGGTAGAATTGGAGCGTTCATTCAAACTCAACGGTGATAGTGGCAATCTCGGTATTAACCCCGGATCCAAGCATTGTTTGGTGACCATCTTTGCAAAATAATTGGAGAAATGGAAAGAAAAAGGAAATAAATGTCCCTAAATATTTGCCAGGCGGTCAAATCATGTGTGATACTGATATCTCGTGCTCTCGCCGGCCTTCTGCCCATTTTTACTCTCGAGTCTCGCCAACTCTCTTTCTTCCCACCGCTCTTTCTCTCTCCCTTGACGACGTCGTCGTCTCCTCTGACCCCGTACTGAACTCCCCTCCGCCACCGTTTCCCGTTACTCCGTCCACCGCTACAACTCCCTCTCTCCGCTCTCGTAAAACTCATCCCTCCCGAGTTACTCCACCAGTTCGCCGGAGAGACTGACGGAGTCGACTCAGTTGTGCCGAAGCCATTTTGCTGCTCCGCCTTTGACCGATCACTAACGCTGTTCTGTCGCTCTTCCGGTATTCTCTCCGAACTTGTTCTCTAATTCAGTTGCAAGATTTGCTTTGTGCTTGTGGATTGCTGGAAATGCCGACTTCGAATTTGATTGAAGTGTGATCAGCGGCGCGAGATCCTGCTGTTTGCTTGTCGTTATGCTCATTTTCGTTCTTCTTGTTTCCTTCAGTTGATTGACGGAGATTTGGATCTTCGTTTTGGTTCAGCGTTTTGCGGATTCAAAATTGCTTGTCAGATTCATTTGGTTGTGCAATTTTGGCTTTACTGCGTCCACTTTCGGACTCACTGCGTTGTTTGTCTAGTTTTGGGGATTCAGATCCTAAGGTGGCGAAGCAATAACTGTTGCATCAGAGATGCGTATCACTGGAGAAATCATTCCATTCTAGTTGTAATGATAAGAAACTTGGTCCTCTGAGCTTCCGATTTCGATGGAGTTGGTGTGTCGATTAAATGATTATTAGTACAAGAACAATTATTGCAATGCTGTACAAGTGTCAATATAGTCAATATCTCTAGTCCTACTCAGTTGAATTCCTCTGATTTAATAACTGGAATTGTCAAATTCTCATCAATGATCAGCTGTTAGTGTACTGTGTGAACGAAACATTTGTAGTTCTTTCAATCTTGACATCTGTTTGGAAGTAAGTACTTGCACTGGAAGCAGTGATTTGTACATCAGTTGATATGGTTGAGTGCATGCTTTAGTTGGCTAGAAAGTTTAGCCTCATTCATTTTGTTGGATCGGGTTTAGTCCATTCTGCTTTTTGTTCATAGGGTGAGTTGAACTGTTTTTTGTTCCGGGTCATTGATAACATCTCTTCTTGGTTTATTAGATTGTTTGGTCTCCATCTAAAGGAAAATGTCAGAGGTTGGCTGCATGGATATTAAGACCTTGCCTGAAACCGGTAGTAACGGAAGCTCCACTATAGGGGGATTTGACAAGCCTTGCAATGGGAATGGAGTTGCTAATGTTGAGGAACATCCAGTTACAACCACTTCCTCAATGGTTTCAGCTGGTAATGGAGTTGTGAGTGTCGAGTCTGGATTAGAAAACGGAAATGTGGAGGTTGCAGAGGTGGAATATGTTGAATCTGAAAATCTGTCCGACGTGGAAGATGTTGACACTTGCATAAAGGTTAGTGCCTTTAAAGCATTGTACCTGCAGTTCTAGTGTTATCTCCTATGGTGCATTCCTTTTGGCATTAACCAGTAAGTCTTTTCCCGTTTATCAGGAGCTTGTAGCTGGTCTTGACTCAAAAGATTGGGTCCTGCTTTGTGAATCACTGAACAATGCACGCCGGTTGTCAAAATTTCATGAGGAGAAAGTGCTAGATATGTTGTAAGTCAATATTCAATAGCTGCCGGATTGTAGTTTCAAAATAGCATAAATCTGTGTGTTCCTCCGTTTTCTGAATCTGCTTTGTCATTTCCCCATGTTATTAACAGGGACGATGTGATACCTCTCATTGTGAAGTCATTAAAGAATCCAAGGAGTGCTGTTTGCAAAACTGCGATCATGGCTTCTGGAGACGTATTCATCACATATAAGGATCACATCATTGATTCTGTGGATCCACTGGTACTTTCTTTGCTGAATTTGATCTTCTTTTCTCTATCTAACTAATTTGTAACAATTTACTACTTCCCTCATAAACTTGTGTGGATGCAGCTGGTGCAGCTTCTCCTTAAATCTTCACAAGACAAAAGATTTTTGTGCGAGGCAGCTGAAAAGGCACTTGTTGCATTGACCACTTCAGTCTCTCCAACACTGCTACTGCCAAAGTTGCAGCCTCATCTTCTGGGCAAGAATCCTCGAATTCGTGCCAAGGCATCCATGTGCTTCTGCCGTAGTGTTCCTAGATTGGTAAGAAACAGGCTTCTCACTCAGCCTTTAATATTCTTCAGTGTTGAAAGTGAACAGAAATAACATTGACTGCTTGAACCCTTTGTAGTTAGTATCGTGACCTCTTGTTATTTGATTGTAATCGAGTTTCATATCATTGTATTTTGTCGGTCTTTATCTTGCATTGCATCTTTATCTATAAATGAACCAAGTTAAATTCCATCAACAGGGTGCTGAAGGTATCAAAGCATATGGAATCGACAAACTGATTCTTGTTGCTGTACGCCAACTCAGTGACAAACTTCCAGAATCAAGGGAAGCTGCTCGAACCCTACTCTCGCAGCTTCAAACTGCGTACGAAGAGTCAGCAGTTCCTAATGAATCCGAGCCCTGTTCCTGGGAGCAGTTTTGTTCTTCGAAATTCCCTCCCTCGACTGCACAAGCGGTACTCCGTGTCACAGGTGTTGGCCGAGAAGGTCCCATTCTGGGTTCTTAGCAGTGAGCCTATATCCACTGCAAAAAGAGGCGTATTTCGTATATGAGTTCTTAGCAAAAACTCCTCACATATATGATGATCATTTGTTGAGCAGAGTATATTTTTGCTTCTTCTACCTATTTTCTGACCTTGTAAATATCACGGGCGCTTTCTAGATCTCTCGCACTGTGTTTTCTGCATGTACGTAGAAGTAGAGTTGGAATATTCTTTCGCGGATATGTTTTGCTGTTGCTGCAACTCATTTGGTAACTGGTTTCTTGTATTCCCCTGGTTTGCTTGGGGGATTTAGATCGAGAATTGGTATTGTCTTCTCCATTTGCAGAAGCCTGATTCGCCATGTTAAGTGTTCTCGTCAAACTAGCTAGAGGTGACATTACGGCGCCGAATGACTGCTGAACCAGCAGAATCGCATTTGTGCGAGCGCGATTTTGTACTATGATTGTGCTATAAGTTTAAGCAAACATGTTACGAAGAGCCATCATCATCATTTGGGGATTGCTTTGAAATTAATTTGTGACAGCGACTTCAGAGAGACACATACAACTAACCAGTCCCAAGGTCAAGGATATGCCGCTGCTAAGCTTCTAATTTGTCTGTCAAAACCCAATTGGGGGTATATAATAATATTGGCATGACTGAAACGAAATCTAACGAAATTAAAGACAAAATAAACCCATCACAGCGTTAAGACAATCATGCTTCACCATCATCATTTCACACTTGAGGCCAAAAACTACAATCACAAGCTGCCATCCAAGTTTGAATCAGGATGACCGAGACTAATTAGTAATTACATGATAGGTCAATTTGACCATTGATTAATGATCTTCGTGGCCGAAGTCTTAAAGATGCATATTTAGTTCCTTTAGTTTCACGTGCTGGTCTATTCAAGCCCTTAAACTTCAAAGTTAGGTCAATCAAGTTCCTCAACCTGTACATCTTGAGACAAACAAGAATTATAGTGCAAAACATTCTGTCGTCCTACATGACTTTGGCTGGGGTGATGAGATTCCATCACACGAGCCACAAAGAAGTGCAACCTAACCATCTAATGGGTAAGTCTCGTACACAATTCATTTTCTCCAAAAGAAAATTTTCAAAGTTCATGAAAATTTTGGAGATATCCAATCATCGAATAGTCGAAAAAGCATGTTCTCTTATCGGAGGGCTAGAGGCACTGTATGAAGCCCCTATGCAAACTAGCCAAACCCCATCTAGACGAGACTTTTCAAGAATTTTTTTTCTAAACATTATCAACCAATATAAAATTTCTCCATCTACTCATACTTACAATATGAAATTTATACTTTCACGATAATTGTTATTGTTTCATCCGAATTGATACGTTTAAAGACTTAATTCACCCAATCTGGAACAATGGGATCTAACTAACCATAATGTACAATTCAAGAGACTAAATTGTTCACTCATGCATATAATATTGTTATTAAGCCACACAAAACAACATAGACTTTTATTCAAGAAGGAAACCAACACTAACAAGAGTAAAAAAACAGGAAATAAGGAAATGAGTCCTACAACATCAAAAGTGTCCTTTTAAAATAGGGTAAATGCCACATTTGGTCACTAAGATTACTAAATCGTGTCATGTTTAGTCACTAGAAAAATTTAATATCAATTTTGGTCACTCGAATTACTGAATCAGGTCAGATTTAGTCACTCTCCCATTAGTTTCTGTCCAACTCCATTAATGGAGCTGGAGGAAGGCTAACGGGAGAGTGACTAAATGTGACCTGTTTCAGTAATTCGAGTGACTAAATGTGACCTGTTTTAGTAATTCGAGTGACCTGAGTTGGACGGGGGCTAATGGGAGAGTGACTAAATGTGACCTAATTTAGTAATTCGAGTGACCAAAATTGACATTAAATTTTTCTAGTGACTAAACATGACACGAATTAGTAATCTCAGTGACCAAATGTGGCATTTACCCTTTTAAAATATGAATATGAATTCCCTGTTTTTGTCCCTTCACCCACAATTATATAATCAATCCACTTAAGCATTCAACAATTGCCAAAAACTTAATGTCATTGTAAATGGATCCTGATATTATCTACAAAAGAACTCCTCTTTTGGCCTCTTCACCAAGGCAACCCGATGGCCATGATATTAATAAGCTTATCCAACAATTATTTATCCCAAAACCAATAGAATTAGTTAGTAATTGGCCACATTTTTCAGTTTCCACAATTCCCTCTACGCAATGGTACTCTCTTCGGACATAGTGATCATGTCCATACTAGTCTCCATGCTCCTCCTCTTCGTAGCCGTCGTCGGAGTGGTAATCATCCACGTCTTCATCACAGCTAGATCAGTCAGGAGAGCGTTAGTCGACGATGCCAACAACAACACCACCGCCACCACCGATCCTCTCCCTGCCCAAAACCACCGCGGATACAGCCGACCCAGGATGTCCCAGGCCGAACTCGACAAGCTCCCCTCCTTCAACTACAACGACGACAACGAATCCAAGAGCACCACCATCATTGGAGGCAAAGGGAGTGACATGGTCAATCAATTCGGGGATTGCGCGGTGTGCCTCGACACCTTCAAGCCAGGGGAGAAATGCAGGGTGCTGCCACTCTGCAAGCACAGCTTCCACGCCAAGTGCGTCGATGGCTGGCTGCTGAAGATCCCCGTCTGTCCAATCTGCAGGGACAACGTCGCGCTTTCTTCGAGGAGGATTGAGAGGGAAGAGATCGGCGGGAGCCGGAGAAACAGCAGCCATTTCAGTGGCGAGATGAGCTTGTTTGGTGGGAGCATTGCTACAACTGAGAGCACCAGCAGCAGCCGGTTTAGCGACGCGAGTTTCGTTACTGTCGTTGGTGGTGGCAGGTTAAGGAGTGTTGAGAATGGCGATGTTATAATTGAGATGGTGGAGAGTAATGGCGATCATGTTGATGTAATTGATCGGTCCCTTTCTGGGCCTCCACGTTCTTCTGTGGATTCCTTGCCCTTGTGAAACATTTGGAGGGGGGCTTCTGTTTATTGTGGTTAATATGTGCATATGTTTATTACATAGGGGAATTTCTATTTGTTGTAAGAACAGAACAGAGAAATTGATGATTTTATTAGAAGCTGCAAGTTCTTGGTAATCAGAGTTATCATTCTACCTTGATCCAATTCTGAACTAGCTAAGCAGCATGATGAATGATGATGATCAAACCCATCCAAAAAGTTCTTATTTCATAATCATAACTCATAAGTACACCATAAAAAACTTACATCCAGCTCTCTCGAAAAATAGTTAATCTGAGTCTGACCAAGCACCAAAGTGAGAGAGGGAAGAGAGGCACCACAATGTCATTTTGAGCATCTTGTCGGATTTTACAAATTGCATTCTCGATCCACTCGAAACATTGTTTCCTTGTATCCCAGCACGTCTCAGTGCTGCCTAGGCGTTGTCGGATGCTACCGGTGCACTCTGGGTGTATTATCCATCTCTTATGGTCAAGATGAACCATTTTCCTTCTGCTTAGCACCTAGATGAGCGCCTAGGTGCGCTTTTAAGAACACTAACAACAACTTATCTCATTTAAGAAATTTAGCGCCATGGTCTACTCTTGCTTATAAAATTCTCAATGCTCTCATTCGATTAAAGTTTAAATTGCATAAGTCGATCATTTTAATTTGTTATAATCCAATCCCGAAAGTTTTGTTGATCGAGGAGGAAGAAAGTGGATTAATCTTTTTTTAGAGTAACATGTGGTAATATTATTAATCAGAAAATGTTGTTACACCATCTAGTCAAAACTTATGAGCATCTTGTCAGATTTTTCAAATTGCATTCTCAACCCACTCTAAACATTGTCTCCTTACATCCCACCACGTCTCAGTGCTGCCTAGGCGTTGTAAGATCCTACCGGTGCACTCTGGGTGTATTATCCATCTCTTATGGTCAAGAGGAACCATTTTCCTTCTGACTAGCACCTAGATAAGCGCCTAGGCGCGCTTTTAAGAACACTAACAACAACTCATCTCATTTAAGAAAATTAGGCGCCATGGCCTACTCTTGCTTTTAAAATTCACAGTGCTCTGATTCGATTAAAGTTTAAATTGCATAAGTTGATCATTTTAAATTGTTATAATCCAATCCCGAAAGTTTTATTGATCGAGGAGGGAGAAAGTGGAATAATCTTTTTTTAGAGTAACATATGGTAATATCATTAATAAAAAAACGTTGTTATATCATATAGTCAAAACTTATGAGCATCTTGTCAGATTTTTCAAATCACATTCTCGACCCACTCGAAACATTGTCTCCTTACATCCCAGCACGTCTCAGTGCTGCCTAGGCGTTGCCGGATGCTACCGGTGCACTCTGGGTGTATTATCCATCTCTTATGGTCAAGATGAACCATTTTCCTTCTGCTTAGCACCTAGACGAGCGTCTAGGTGTGCTTTTAAGAACACTAACAACAACTCATCTCATATAAGAAAATTAGCGCCATGACCTACTCTTGTTAATGCACAAGGGGTTAACAACAGCTTGGCACAAGTCACTGAGTTCTCGGATAAAATCAAGTTTAAGCTCTCGCTCCTGCGGGCCGTAGATAATAACAAAAGTCCACACTTTAAGGGAAGCCACCTCCTGGAAATCGATGACCAAACAGTATGTCCCTTCTCTGGTAGAAATAGCCCTGACGTAATCCTTCTCCCAGTAGACCGCAATTCCTCCACAACTATTCACCGCATCTTTGGCCACCCACCCAGATTCCCTACTCCCACTGATACTTGCGATGAAGTCCCCAGAACACTGATCCCACTTAGTTTCCACCAGACCCATAATTTTTGGTCTTCTTCTTCCCAGGTGTGCTTTTAAGAACACTAACAACAACTCATCTCATATAAGAAAATTAGCGTCATGACCTACTCTTGCTTTTAAAATTCTCAGTGCTCTGATTCGATTAAAGTTTAAATTGCATAAGTCGATCATTTTAAATTGTTGTAATCCAATCCCGAAAGTTTTGTGATCGAGGAGGAAGAAAGTGGATTAATGTTTTTTTTTTAGAGTAACGTGTGGTAATATTATTAATCAGAAAACGTTGTTACATCATCTAGTCAAAACTTATTAAACAAAATCATAGGGGGTCTATCAACCCACAAAATAGAACCATTCAATCTAGTTTCACAAGTGACCACAAGACGTGCAACTATGTTAGTCATTCTTTGAATATACTAAACATAATTCACACTTCCTTCAGCCAACTCCGTTATGATACTTGCACAAATTGTGTCGAGCTTAGACAGAATTGGCTCGTTGTGCATAATCATTTTTACCGATGATCAAGTGATCTGATCTGATTCAACATCCAAATGTTCAAATTGGAGTTTATTTTGCCATTTATATGTAAAATTCTACTATAGTAGCTTCTACCATTTCACCATCCCAACTTCTTGAAATTTTCTGGACTGAAAGTGGATTGATCTTGAATACTATTATCTAAATTATTT